TGAACATATACACAATGGTGGAACACAGAGGACAGTGTACAGAACATGAGTCGCATACAGGATGGGAGATATGTATGTATACAGCTTCAAGTGGTCAACTGGTCACTAAAGAGAAACACCAACAACCTTCAGCCACACCTCTTTCCTCTGCTTTGCTTCAAAATTCTGGGTTACAGCCGCTAGTCATGGTGTTGTAATCGTAGTTGGGTCAACCACAGTTCAAATAACTGTAACATTAGCTAGGCTAGCAGTAACATAGCTAAGCTACCAGCTTGTTAGAAAAAAAACAGCTTATTACAGTTATTAGCCATTAAACCATCTAACCAGCATGAGCATGTTAACTAAAATTACCTAATGAAAATGTGATGACTGCTTTAAGCCCCACTTTATGGTAATGTCTTGGTATGTGCTGAGGGTTTTATTACTGCTAAAACGATACGCACAGACATGCTAAACACAGCCAAACCAAATTGCCACCGCTAAGAAAAAGAGAGAAGAAGGTCTTGGAGGGGTCAGGCACGGCAGCAGGAAAGAAGGAGGGAGAGAGAAGAATAAAACTACAGAGTTAAGGGTCCAAGGGCATGTTTACTCACGGCCGCACCTCCACTCACACAGCCGCACCCTCAGGACTCTGACACCTGGCAACAGCTTCAATCTTACAGCACCACCTCAGTAATCCCAAGTGTATTTCTCATTCACTCACTATCTCCCTCTGACTGAATCTCAAAGGGCTAAGGCTGCACGATAAGGAATAAACTCAAGTATTTTGATTACACTGAACTTTATTAAACTAGTAAGAAATAACAGTGTTGTGAATATATCGCTTTACATTGATGCAAAAATATGACTGTTGCTACACATTGCAACTGCAATACACTTTGCAAGGTGTTTCGCAATCACAATATGTAGCAATATAATAGCAAGGTGTAGCAATATAATCATACCAGTAACTGCAGCTAAAATGCATTGGTGAATCAACAATTTGACATGGGTAAAAACTGACTTGTTTAATTTTAACCAAAACCAATAAACTCAGGATGCTCATTTGCATACTGTAGCTTTCTGCAATATCAGTACAGCAAAGGCCAGTATTGTAATAATTAATACTGTGCAGCCCTACTCCCTAAGCAGTGCACAACACAGGTCATGAAATAATGTCTTCTACACCAAAACAGTGCACTGTATGTGTTTTTATATCATAAGAATAAATATACATCTTATTGCATTTTGTTATGTATTTGTTTTGGGACTGTTTAGCCTTCCTGCAATTTTATGCCATGCAACTTATTTTCTTATATTTTTAAATAAGATTTCATTTAAACTATTGCACACCACGTTGCCCAACATTTGTTTATGTCTTGATAAATAAATCTTGCCTATTTAAGTGTAGAACTCAAAGTCCCATAAAATCCATCACTTATGAAGAGCACTATATAAAGAACAGGGAGTCATTTGAGATTCAACCACACAGTCTGCTACCTTTTCCTCCCCATAGACCAATCAGAAAGCAGAATCCAGTGGGATCAGGACCAGACGCTACACACAGGGAGATATGAGGGATCAGTATAAAAGCGATAGTTCAGAGGAAAAAAAAAAAATTCAAATACAGACATTCTCTCTACACAGCCCAAATGTAGGCAATCAGCCAAGACATGTTTGCTAATGTAGCTAACAAGTAATGGAAGCTTATACCCCATCAGTTAGCATCTGTTTTTGGCTATGTGGTGAGGTAAAGCGTGATAAACTGTTTAAAGTCCTCATGAACAAACTTTGTACAGTTACCAACCCGACAAATCTGAGCCGATTGTTAACGGTGGCTGTAAAAATCTGCAATCGATATAAGACATTTTATGATTGTGCTTCAAAGGAAACTCGATTAAGCTCTGCTTTATTTAAAGACTGACTAATCTGTCTAACTGCCATACAAGTGCAATTTTAAAGAGAAATTCCACTGATTTTTTTTTTTTAAAAATAGGCGCATACATAAATTGGCAAATAGTTAGACAGTCATTTAGAGTGCTTTGCTGTGAAAACTTAACTTGTCAGAAGGGTTTAAAGCCTCTAAAAGCTACCTATTACATGGAACACATTAAAAAAAACCCATTCATGGCAGAGCGATACATGCAGGGAATTGTAGGGCAAAATAATCCCCACAGAAAACTTTTTTCACATTTACCACTATTTTATCATTAGCAACATTAAATGTAAAACTCATAATTACCGTGTGGGATCACTGGTGGTTTTGGACGGTAAACAACTTGCACTGTAGAAATCATGACCACTGTCAAGAAATCTAGAAGTTTTTCTACAACAAACCATTTCACATTAAACCACTCTGATGAATTTGTAGTTGGAAATAACTTTCATTTCATCGAGAGAGCAATCAATCAAACTGATTGCCATTAAAAACAGTATTTAAAAGTGAGGGCTACAGTTGCAGAGTCATAGCAACTACGTAGCTGGGCTTCAAGCTTGGAACTATGAATGGTTCAAAGGGTCAAACTAGGAAAATGCTTTACCATTGTTGAGTACTAAGGCGTTCATTTTGATACCACTAATAAAAAATATGTATATACAGCCATGTGCAAAAGTTTGGGTACTAAAAAAAATGTAATGTAAAAATGACACTTCGTTGACTTTCTAAGTGATAATATGTTAAAATATCTACTACACAGAACACACCTCTTCAGATTTTAATGCACAATTACAGTTTTTTGCTGAATTTGACCAGACTTATTCCAACTTTTGCAAATGACGGTATATAGCAACAGAAATAGATTAGAAACACTGCTTGTGAATAAACTTCATTATATATATAACTGCGCTGAACTGACCCTGTTTCATCTGACCTGCTTTACTGGACTTGGTTGTTTGGCTTTTGTGTGTGATAACAAGGACAAAGTGCAGCAATAAACAAATGTCTGTTCCCCAACACACACACACACACACAGATTACACCCTTATTAATAAACCCTGCTTCAAGTGTGAACAGCTTCCAATGGTACTGCCTGGTTTCTAAGTATGTTTTGGGATGCACTGGGATCAACTCTACACACACACACACACACACACACACACACACACACATATGCATGTCAAATGACTCCTGCCATGGGGCCTACACCACACTATACACCTTCACAAGCCAGTCTAATTTACAGTGACAGTAACGCTTATTACACAGTCCTGCACATCCACCACCACTCAAAGGACTGCTGCATTTGAGTTTTAGGTAAAATATCAGGGACAAAAAATTAGTTTACACCACAGTGACCAGTCTAGGTCACCTGACAAACACCAGCAATGATTTCAGGCCAATAATTACCCACATAAACAGCTAATATAGAAACTTGCATTTACCAGTGTTCACACCCTACTCAACAAACTGCACTACAATGCACTCCGTTTTTGCACTGTCATGCAAAACATTTCAGAGTTACCAGTTTACACCACCTGAACAAGCAGAACATCAGCAAGAGCCCCATGCCTAAAATACTGTGCCAACAAATTAATGTATTGCTGTAAAATTAATTTAGCTGCTCATATGAAACATGGAAATATTCATTTGCAGGGGTTCACAATCTGCTGAAACACCCCAATGTATTTAGAATTTTAGCTACAATATCACAAGAAACAAATGAGCTTACATTAGAGTTACCAGGCCAGGTCACCTGAACAAAACCAGCAATGATTTCAGGCTTATAATAACCCACAGGAACAGCTGCTGATGCAGAAACCTGCATTTACTAGAACCTACTCAACACACTGCACTCCAGTGCAAAACACATCACAGTTACCAGTCTAGATCACCTGAAAAACCTGAAGATCAGCAAGAGCCCCACACCGAAAACACCCCACATATGCTAATGTGGAAATAGTAATTTACAAAACCTGCTTTAAAAATGCTTGTGGGTCTTCAGCTAAAAAGATGCACAACAAACGAGTTACCATCAGAATAACCAAGCTAGGCTACTTGAACATCATCATTACGTGCGCACAGAGGTGGGTGATATGGCAAAAATGTAATATCACGATACCTCAGAAAATTCTCATGATACACGATATGACAATATTTTCCCTCACATCTTATAAGTTAGAACAGACCTCAAATGTAGTGCCACATTTAAAAAACACATTGATTTGTAGTCAATACTTCACACACTGCACTGCATAAATCCAATTAAACAGGACTAGTTCTGCTATTATACTATTTTAAGTACTGATACTATCTACAATATGTTCTGAAAAGCATATTGTGAGGGAATTTATCACGATAACGATAAATATTGTCAAATGTTGTCCAGCCCTACATACTCCACGCCTAACTTAAACCTCAGAAACAGCTGCCAATATGGAAAAAATTTACAAGAACTCAACACACTGGACTCCAGAGCCTTTGGATTTTTAAATGCGGTGCAAATGTGTGTACATCAGAATATCCAGGCTGGGCCAGCTGACAAAACATTAAAACACCAGCAGCAAAGACATCAGGCCTATAATACCCGACAGGAGCCGCTGCTAAAGTGGAAATATTAATTTATTAGTTTTAAAACGTGCTGAACACACTAGACCCCAGTGATTTTCAGCTAAAATACGGAGTAAAAAAAAATGAGTTTACATCAGAATAACCAAGCCAGGCCAGCAGCAATGTCCCCAGGCTTTAAAAAACATAGAAACGGCTGCTAATGTGGAAAAGTATGTTTTCAAGTGTTCAAAATCTGCTCAACAGAATGGATTTGGCTACAAATATCGTGCTAAATGAATGAGCTTAAACACGAACTGCTGAATAGGGAACCCGCATTTACGACTGTCCATTACAGTCGATTCTTTTAAACCCATCACACTGAGTGAAAATGTTTGGAGGGACAGTGAACCACACAGTGAGTGAGGAGGAATAGCGCGGACTGACCACTTTAAAATGAACAGAGAATAAGAGGAGACAGCGGTGTTTGCTCACTGGTAATGTATGGTGCAGCGGAGCGGCGGTGATGCTCTCTTACCTTCGTAATGGACCTGCAGTCTGTGAGCAGGTGAAGGACAGTGATAATACTGCTCTCCGGCGGTACTGTCCGGCTTTCTACTGACCAACTGAGCTCGGCGTGGCTACCGGACACACATTAGCGCCAAGACTGGAGAAAAACTGAACAGAAAACAGACACACACCAACACAGAACAAACAGCAGTGCACATGTACATGCGCTCAGCATCGAGCACTAACTGGGCAGCCAGGAGGAGGAGCAGCTCCTCCCCGACACAGAACGGCCCGCCATCCGCTCTTAAAGCGACAGTTCACAAACTATAACGTTAAACAATGCAGATTTGCCTAGTTTCTCCACCTACCACAAAATGTAGTGGATTAAAGCTTAAGTCACCAAGACATGTTTGGTGACTGACGTTTGCTTCTTTACTTTTAGCGCAGGATCTACAAGACAAATGTGAGGTTTACACCAGTTAGCTTGGTGCTAACTGCACTATCCAACGTCACGCCTCAGAGTTGTTCAGCAATCTCAGACTGCTGATGTGGTTTCTGACATATGAGTATGAGACATTGGTATCTAAAAAAAAGACAAAAGTACATTAGCAAAACTAAAGCAGGAGCCAGAATTATGTCCATACTTTTGTTATAGATTGACCAAAAAAAAAACAAAAAGGTAAAAAAAAAACAAAGTGTTTGTACTCACATAACTGGCCTGGGACTATTTTACCGCGTAGTGCTGGATATGGTAGTGATGCGGTTCTGTACGTCATCATCTTCCACTTTCCCGCTCAGGTGGAGAAATACAGTGTTGTTTTCTGGATGATTATGGTAATATACTTGATTATAGAGTGCTTTTTGCAGCAAATTTGATTTCTTCTGTCCTCCTAAACAGTTTATCTTAGTTGTTAAGGCCATACTGGACTGAAGGTTCTAATGAAAGGAATTATTCTGCATTCAAGAATCCCTCATCACCTGTATGTTCAGAATTATCTGAGTCTAGATGATGTAGCAACAAATAATTACGACAGGCTGTTACCAAAGAACGTTTTTCCTTTGCTATAAAACAACAAATTACAAAAGGTTGAGGCTATTGTTGATCACATAAGTTCTAGATATGCCTATAATTTCATTTCCTATTCCACGTAAGGGTAAAGAGCTTCAGTTTGAAATGTTAATTGACATCTATCACTCTAATTAATTCTTAAAATTAAAGTTTAATGTCGAAAAATAATTTTGTGATTTTAATATTAAAAATTCTTAGCTGTAGTTAGTTTCTTCAGCTGTGTTCATTCTTGTACCTTCTGGAGTGACCTCCAAAACTGGTTCTCCTCAAAGAATGATGACTCAGCAACTTTAGACTTTTATATGATCAATCTGGGGCTAGCGAATGTAGAGATGCACTTTTGGTTAATAATGTCATTATTTTAGCAAAATATTTTGTACACAAATGGAAAATATTGAAAACCTCTCCACTGTTTTTGGTTTTTAAAAGGAACATGGTCTTTTTTTTTGTATGTTTAATGAAGAGTATAGCTGTAAATAGCTGTAAACGTCTTTCATTTATCAGGAAATACGACATATTCTGAACTATTTTATATCTTTGTCTTACACTACTGAAATAATGTATTTGTTTTATCTTTTATATATGATATTATTGTCATTCCTGATTGCACAGTATGACTTCAAAAAGTGGAGAAATACAGGGATCACCTGGTGAGGTGACCATAGCGATTCCCTTTCTGAGATGGTCCTCCTTGACGTAATCCGATCTAGTTTATGTCGTGAGGTTTATGTCATAACTGTCAGCTACAGCAAGGGTGTCAATCAGTGTAACATCAGTTTACACTTATTTTATTTAAGACCTTATCTCATAGAGCGATAGTACCAAATTTACATTTGCTAGCTAGCTAGCTTTTTATTTTTAGCTAACAATCCTGTGGGATTCCCTCGTCGAAACACTGGGTATTTTATTTTATAAAGTGGCTATATTTGTGTTGTAGAAATGGCGACCCCTGGTTCCTATCACCACCACTGTGAAAATCTGTAAGTTTCTCAACAATGAACCCCTTCACATTAAACCATTCTGAATGACTCTGTTTACATCTCAACCACTGAATTCAGATATTTTTGAAAAAATGGTGGTGTTCCCTTTCAAGCGACTCCTGATATCATTATGACAGTGTCTTAAATTACTTAAATCATGTTTGCTCAATGTAGCTGTCTATGTAGCTATGTCTATGCATCGTTAACAGCACTCTGGTGACCAAAAATATTTTCAGAATAGATTAAAAAAGTTTCTTATCTGTATTTATTGGATTTCAGCCAATGGATCAGCATTTATGATGCCAGGTGCATCCATGGCCACCACATTGGGATACAAGCTATCAACCCAAAAGGATTTTAATAATTTTTTTCTGAACATTTTTAGTGAAATATTGAAATACTTGTAATCTGGGGCTGCATTCATTTTTACCTTATGCATTTATTATAACAAATCACACCTCCTAGCTGATAGCTCCTACTTGCAATTGGCATATGTATGGAGTTAATTATGTACCAAAAGTTAAAAAAGTCTAATTAATTGTATTTGCAACATATTTTAGACATTTTATACTCAGTATTTTGCTTGTGGATTTTAGCATTTTATTTTAAATTTTGGCACAAAATTAACTCTATACAGATTTATTAGCCAGTCCTGGCCTATGAGGAGGGATTTGTTGGGTAGGGGAAAAAGAAAAAAGACACACACTATGGACCCCTTTACTGACACATAATAACACTCTGTAAACCATAGACAGCACAAACTAGAGGACAATTAGCTGCTTCATCACTTGGCCTACACACTGACCTAATGGTGCCCTCTGGAACATACAAACACAATAATACAGAGTGGACAATGGTGTTCAGTTATTAGCCAGTGTATTTTTGGTACTCTGAAATGTCAAACACACTGCGCCATGCAATATTTTAGGCCCCACTGTTTGTTGAGGCCATAATCATAGCAGAGTAGGCTAATTATGCCTGAACATAATCCACTGAGTCATGGAGAACCAAAACACCTCAGGCAGAAGAGATTACAGCCCATATGTGCATCATAGATGGTGGGGGGCAGGGGGTGGTGCCCTAGTCATAATTGTGAGCAGTACTGATTGAAATATAAGTGCTAGCATTAATAAAGCAAATATGTTAGCATGAATACAGTTGATGAGTTAGCATTAAAAAGATAATCAATTGGCATTAATAGAGTAAATAAGTTAGCAGTAAAAAATAGTGTTATTAATGCTAATAAGCTATCATTAACAAAGCAAATATGTTAGCATCAATAAAATTGGTCATTAGCACAAAGTTAAGGAGCCCATGCTTCCAGAGTGCTGCTACAATATGTTGAAAGAATGTTATACAAACCTGACATATTTTGTTTTGACTATTTTGCTTGTTTTCTTCTTTAAAACGACCCCAAAGAGAACCTCTCACATTTTTGTAAATGTTAACCAGACAGAATTTTTTCTTCTTTCAAAACAATCTGAAGCACCCAGTAAATGACAGACTCTGTAGTTAACCATCAGCACATGGACACCATGAGTAAAAAACAAAATACAATTTAAAAAATTTCCCCAAAATTGAAACAAAAAAATAAACCTGCTTGCCATCAAGGACACTACTATTTAACCAAATTCCATCATGGATATAATGCTCCATATGCAATCAAATATGTTGCTAGAAATATTAAAAAGCAATATCACAGTATAATATTATGGTATACCAGTATAGACACAGTATAGAATAAATTGCCCAGCACTATGACAATGAATCATAATAGTATCAATATTTACATGATAATTGTCTGGGTACTATTACTAGCACTGAAAGTTTACACTGTAACATTAGAATGATCTTAAGATAGTGCTGTTACATTAAGAAGATGAAGGTGCCCCCTAGTGGACCCAAACATTCTGACCAAAGGCTCTACAAACGCAGACATGCAGTGAATTCATGAAAACATAACAGACACACACAAGCCAATCAAATGTCTACTTATTCTTCTGAACTTTTTAAAGTATACCATGTGTATGTCATCATGTCATAACATAATAAGTCAGTCCAGCAGCTCTGTAAACAACATTTACCTTACAGATAATCTAATTAATTATGAATAAAGAAGAAAGAATAAACCACATAGCGTTTGGAGCAACAAGGCTAGTTAAGCTAACAAATAATGGGAGCTTATACCCCAATTAGCATGGTGCTAACTGCATGTCTAATTTGACTAAAGTGACTGTATTTAGATCTAAAGGAATGTCATCTGTAAATAGGGTTGAAAATTGTTTAATAATTGTTTAATTAAGCAGTGATGCTTGTACTAATGCACAAGCAGTTTAAGTTGTGGAAGGACTATACTTGCTGACAATCTGATCACGTCCTGCATTCTCAGTCAGTCATCAAGAACAGTCCTTCCACAACTACACAGAGAGGGACATTGTAGTAGGGCTGTAGTGCATAAACACTTCATTACAAAGATGAATGCACATTTGAGAGTTCAGTAATAAAAAAACAAGGGCACTGATCTGCAGATATGTGAAAAAGGGTGATATGGTAAGATGAGTCCTCCTTGGTGTACACCAACCGAATACTACGAGTTTGAATACATGACCCCTACAGTGAGGGGGTCCGGCAGCTCTGTTATGCTGTGGGGGCATTTTTCTGGACATGGTTTAGGTCCACTTGTAGCAACCCAGGAAAGTTATTCTGAATTATTTTGATCTTTATGTTATGATGAAACGTTTCTATTCTGACTGGAGTGATCTCTTCCAGGATGACAATGCTCCTATCCACAGGGTACAAGGGGTCAACAATGGTTTGCTGAGTGTGAAAATGATGTAAATAATATGCTAAGTCACCAGATCCCAACCCAGCTGAACACCAATTTGAGATTCTGGACTGACGTGTTCGTGACGAGGGGTGTCCGATCTTGTCCACAAAGGGCTGAAGTGGCTGCAAGTTTTCATTCCAAACGAGCTGGAATTCACCTAATTAATCAGTTGCTCAGTCTTCAATCAACTGAACATGTGCAATCCTGCTATGTTGGAATGAAAACCTGCAGCCAGACCGTCCCTTTGCGGATAAGATCGGACACCCCTGTGTTAGACAGTGCTCTCCACCACCATTATCAAAACACAAACTCTACGCCAGGGTGTATTAAAGCTGTTCTGGCAGCTTGTCATGGTCTAACACCTTACTAAAACACACATAGGCCACATTATTAAGTACACCTACCTTTTATTTACACTCATTGTCCATTTTATCAGGTCCACTTACCAGCCCCCCCTTCACCTTGATCATTAATGGCCTCGACCCCCACAAGACCACAGAGCAGGTATCATTAGTAGCTCATTATTCTCAGCACTGTAGTGACACGGACATGGTAGTGGCATGTTTGTGTCTGTGCTGCATAGAGTATATCAGATACAGCAGTGTTGCTGGAGGTTTTAATAAAGTCAGTGTCACTGCTGGGCTGAAAATTGTCCCCTGACCAAAAATATCCAGCCAACAGTGTCTTGTGGCCAGAGACTTTTAGGATTCTTGTTTTCAGTTTTTCAAAGAAATTTTCCATGCTTCTCATAAAGACATCCAAAGTTCAGTCTTAGAAGTTGGTTGTATTTTCTGCAGATCCAGGTAATCTCAAACATTTAATGATGTTGAGGTCTGGGCCCTGGCTGATCAGTTCATTGTTCTGAGAACACCACAGTTTCTTGTTTAATCAGTACATCTTGATCTTCTGAGCAGTGGGCATGGGGTCATTAACCTGCTTTAAATTTAATTTCTTCCCCATCAAACTCTCCACTCTACTAGACACAGCTTTAAGCTTTGAAAAACTTTTTTGTTTTTTTGGCAGCATGTTTGGGATCTGTCTTGCTGTAGGACGAAGCAATGTCCAATGAGTTTGGAGGATTTTTCTTTACTATGATAAGAATTCTTGTGTCATCAGCTCTGGAACACTTCCTTGGCCTACCACTGTGTGTACACACAATACATTTTGTTCATTTTCTAATGAACAAAACGTACCATATATATATATATATACATTGCACTCCATAATGTCTGGGAAAGGTTTACAAGTCTTCTCTGTAGAGGGTGTGAAAAATAAGTTACCACAGCCTCTACAAAGAAAAGACCTCTAAACTGTTTTAATGCACAATTACATTTTACTAGCTGAATTTATTAATAGAAACTGTGCACTTATTGACATATTGACATGTTTACTCTAGATTTGTTAACTTTTTTCAAAACATGTCATTTAACCAGACTTTCATATATATGCATCACATATGTACAGCACGAAGTTTAGTTGGTTCCCTGTATACGATGTGTTAACTCATTTTAAATTTAACTGTATATATACACACACACACCATTGAAATAAACGGACACAACCATGCCAGAATAGCTGCTGTTATTCATTAAGAACTTTATGCAGCAAAGCCTGGACCAAAGCAATGGCACAAACATAAATGATCTACACAAGGAAAACCAAGAAATGTGTGAGAAAAGTGGTCAACAGCAGAACCTTAAGGAGATGTGAACTGATCAGTCCGTTTAATGCATAATCAGAGAAAATGTCACTGCTTCTTTGTGTTTGATTAGTAGTCTTCCTCAGTCAGGCGGTTTAAGAACAACTTTCACACTAAAACTGTGAAAATGAATCCTCTAAACCTTTCAAACACTGACATTCTTTCACACAGCAGCCTGAAGAATTCCCCTCAAAACAACACTGCATTTGGATTTTTAAAAGTTTCTCCTTATATTCTGCATGTATTATTTTAAACAATGATAAAATCAACTATCATACATCCAGTTCAGCAAGATTCTTCAAACAACAGAACAATATGAGTATGCGTTGTTTCTCTACAGTACAGTTGTTGCAGACTATAATAAAACACTATGGTGAAGTGGATCATGAACGCAGCACAGTCTAAACTGCAGTATCTTACAGTAAAATACATGAATTTAAAAGCCGTATTATCTAATCAGGCCATTTATTTTTTATTGTTGTGTCTATAAATTAAATGAATCTTACACAGAAGTCTGAATGGCTAAACCTGACAAAGGCTGCAAAAATACCTCTGATCATTTAGAGGAACCTGAACACGTTATCACAGCATACAGCGGACTCCAGCAGAACAGCAGAAACCTGGGGCAACCCGGAGATAAACACAGGCAGGGGTGTGGGTGTGTTTGAATACAGATCTGAATGCTTGGTGTAATAAATGGAGGCTACTAGCTTTCATTCATTGTTAATGCCAGTTAGCATGAACAGTTAAGCTTTAAGTATTAAATATTATTATCCGGAAGCTGCTAGCTTCTATTCCTTGGAAAATACTAGCATGTATGATTAGCATATTCCACATTCTGCCCCTCGAAAAATGCCAAAAATGCTAGTACTGCTAACAAGTAATAGAACCTAGCTGCCAAGAGTTGGCACTAAGCAACATTATGATATCTGGTGGCTGCTGGTTTTTATTCATGGTTAATATTAGCATGTATGGCTGAGTTGTTCTTTTAAGTATTACATAATGAAAAGTATGTGCCACAAATTAGCAACATGCAAAGTACATCCTGCCATCTGGTGGCTACTACCTACATGTGCTGTTAACAATGTTAGCATGTACACTCATAAAAAAGATGGTTCAAGAGTTCTGTAGTAAAGGGAATGATTCTATTTGGAACCATGAGTTCTTTATAGAACCATTTAATGCTTAACTAGTTCTTTGCATGGTGAAAATTTCTTCAGATCGATGGAGAATGTTGTATATGGTTCTATATGGCACCAAAAAGAGTTCTCCTATTTTTAAAAGCTTGACATCGTAACAATAACAGAACCCTGTTCAGTGCTATATAGAACCATTTTTAAAAAGGTTCTATATACAACCACACACACACACAATACATTCTCCATCAATCTGAAAAAAAACCTTTTTACCATGCAGAGAACCACTTAAACATGAAATGGTTCTATATAGAACTCATGGTCCATGCAACGTGATGGCTACTAGCATCTGACTAGTATAAGTGTATGTTTGAGCTATAGTATTAAGCAATGTAATGTATGTGATGTAACCAGTTAGAAATAAGCATATGACATCATGTTATGTGACGTCTACTAGCATCTATTCTTTGTTAGCCATGTTAGAATGTATGGCCGGGCTGCCCCCTGGCTGCTGTTTAGAGGTGGAAGCAGAAAGTGCAGAAACGGTGCAAAAGCCTACCGAATGTGCACCCAGGCAAAGAAGGCACGCCTTAAAGCTAACACACAGCGCACACACAGCGCACACACACACACACACATACAAATACATACATACATAAAGACAAAGACAGACGGACAGGCAGAAACGGACACACAGCTGAGCATTGTGGGTAGACTGACCAAACAGCCTTTCTGTGAGGTGACTGAGGCAGTGCAAGAGAGGAAAACCTTTTTTTTTCTCTGTCAAAATCCTTCTTCGGCTCACACTCTTCAGATCTAATGTTTTAGCTATTTTGCTAATTGAAACAAAACTGCTTTTGCCGATGCAAAAGAAGAAAGCGAACCATGTAAACACAAAAAATAAAACTCACTGCAACAGGTGCTTTTATTATGTATATATCTACATTTACACTATCCTCATATCTGTATGGTGCAGTTTTCTTCTTTTGCATGAACAAAAGAATAGATTTGTCCATTATGTCTTTAACCAATGTTTTGACTACAAACAAATAATAACATGGCATTAGATGTGCATGTCTGTGGCAGCAGCTAAAGATGAAGTCACATGAAGCTGTTTAACGGTCCAGTAGAACTAACATGGGTAAATCAGCCACCCTCCACAAAATAAAATAAACGCTAAAAAATAACAGGTGAACCTGCTGAAAAGAGGAAAAAAGATGAATGTGTCAATCCTCTGGTGCTCCATTCTTAAGCCCCGACTTCTCTCTCTTATTAGCGTAGAGGGGAGTTGAAGGCTTTTCCCCTCCATGATGATAAACGTGTTCAGTCTCTCTATTCATCATCTTCCTCCTCTTCGTCATCGTCATCTTCATCAAATTGGTCCCGAGCATCCAAATCATCCTCATCTTCAATCTGTAGGGAGACAGTGATATCACAGCTATGAAGTCATATTTAATATGCTTATGTTCCAAATTATAAAACAAAAGTGTTTTTGCTGCATGTTTTACAGGAATAGGCTAGCAAAAAAAATTTTAAAAACCAAACCATGTCAAGATGTAGAAGTAATCTCAAATAGTCTTTATGTAGTCTCAGACAATGTATGACATACTAATAACTACTGTCAGTTCTGAAAATGAACAAAGGTACATTAGTACAGCTTAAACGTTTTGGCAAAACGTTCACTGGAGAATGGATCAATCAATGTAATGGGAAAAGGGAACTGTGTGGAAGTGACACAAATGTCAATGAAACAAACTATATTGCATTCAAATGTCTAGAAAAAGGATAAATGCAGTTAGGCTTGAGCGATTTGACACTATTTTTTGTCACAATATCAACAGTCTTGGCCAACGATGTTATTTTTGCTGTCTTTACTGCCAAATTTAAACATGTGTCTGAAGCCATTATATACAATCTTTTAAGATGACTGTAATATTCTTAGCCAACATGACTGTAAAATTCCAAGCCAATGTGGCTATGAAGAAACTGAAATCGAAATCGAAAGAGAGATCCAACCAAACAGGATCAAAGCAATTGGGAAACTGTGAGAGCTTAAAATCAAATGATTGCCTAAAACTCAATTACAAGATTCAAAGCAAATGAAAAGCTGCTTTCAGAGATGTTTAAGCTCAACATGTGTCAGCGGGTGCCGCAGGAAACTATTCAGCGGCACCATGAGGCATCTAAAATACTTTGTATTTCTTAAATACAAATGATAATCTGAGAAAGCGGGCCGCACTGTTTTTACAGTGGGCACAACCTCTAACGTGCACACGTGGGGCAGGCAAAGGGCTTTTATGTAACTGATATGTAAAATGTTAACAGTGGTCTGCCATGAGTATTTGCCAGGTGTGTTCAGACATAACCGTTGAACATGGCATTTTTACAAGCCTACACTTAGAATCGATAATGAGCTTGATCTGAGAAAATATGGCTGGCCTAATGATGTTACTCCTAGCACAGCTACAAGGTTAAGTGCTAACTTAGTGACTGTTTTCCATTTAATGCTAAAGCTTCAGCCTCAAGGCTTTCAAGGACATCATACAGAAAGGGGTTTGCCAATCAACAAATTATTTGTATAAAATTTTGAATTACTATTTAATAATAAACTACATTTGATCACATTCAGAGGCCACAACAAGCACATGTCTGACACTACAATGCCTGTGTTCACAGCTTGTTTATTACTGGTCTACTGCAATATTTAAAACAGGCCTGTATCAAACAATTCAGAGCTTTGCTACCTGACCCGACCCCAAAGGGGGCCCAAATGTGTGTCAGAGTACTTTCTCGCTCCAGTTATGTCAGTGTCAGCTACAGTAAAAGCGCATTCATTTTCTGTTGACCATGTGCTTTGTGATGAAAAGTATTGCAAAGTAATTCGTGCAACAATCCATGTCCGTTCGGGACGGATTCAGGTTCAGGTTTTAGATTAAGTTGCACCAGTTGGGACTGTCATGGGTATAGGTCAGACTCAGGCCTCAATGTCATGCCTGCGCAGACCTCTAAAACAGATCTGAATATCACGCAACCATAAATGGTAAGTGTGTGTTCATTAGTTGCACTTTAGTAGCATTGAGCCTCCTGATGCAGCTGTGTAGATAGCCCTACCGTCTCCCCCAGGTCTTTGAGCCTCTGTTTTAGAGAGAGGATTTTCTGGTCTTGGTCAGCCAACAGCATCAGCAGGTCATCCTGCTCCTTCTTTGACTCGGCCACTTCCTGCTGCAGCTTACTCTTCTCCGTCTGCAGAATGGTTGCGGTGCTGGTGGCTGCTGCTAGCTCCTTCTCCATCGCTGCCCTGCTCTCCGTCAGAGTTCGCACCTCCTCCTACCATACACGCAGGGTTAGTTCGTGTGAACAAGTGTTTGAGTGTGAAAGATGAAATAACAGAAATACAAGTAGACAAGACATTGAGCAAACACTAAGCATTTAATTCTCTACCAGAAGAATGCCGGAGAACATGGGAATGAACCAAAACCTCTGGTACGTAGGATCTACTTCATGTTTGTTTCATTGGAAACCAAAAAAAAAAAAATTATATCGCCAGAAAGTAATATTAGAACCTAGCCCAGATAATTATATGGTTATTTCATTACCATCAGGGAATATGCAGGCTATTGTACAAAGCTATGCAACATTTACATGCTGGGCGCTGGAACTGAATTTGTATTATCACAATATTGTTTAACATGAAAATTCTGCAGGCAACAATCATTTGTCTACATTTACAACAACATCCAAAACTTAGTGTTGTGTAATACCTGTAGTCTGTTTGTTTCTGCAGTTTGTGTTGATAGTCTGTTCTCTAGCTTGGTTACTTTAGCTAAATCTGCTGCTTCTCCACTTACGGCAGTCTGCAGAGGAAACACACACAGTCCAACACTGATCTCACATCAGAGTATACACACAGGGAAATGTCTCTGTATGAGAAGTACAAAGCCCTACTCCTGCAGTTAGCTCCAGTTTAGTTCAATCTTTCCTGTTAATTAAGGTTAAGGGTGCAAAAATGCATTGAGAGCCATTTATCTAAAGGTAGCTGGAGGATTCAGCTAAATTGATTTTGCAATGTTGGAATCCATTCATATCCATTCCATAATAATGGATTACATTAACATTTAATAAAGACTGTTTGACCAAAAATGTTCTAAAATCTATTAACCACAGGCTAAGCTTCTGTTATTGTACTCCACTACTGTATACCTTCTGTGATGTTTTGTATATTCAGTATATTCATCACATAATTCTGAACTGCAGCAAAAGAATCCAATCAAATTTAATTGTGGTGAAATCTGAGATATTATGATGCTCTGAATCATTATCAAAACAAATCACAGTCTTTTGGAGATGCAGTTGTGTTTTATGAGCATTTTAACAGATCCCTACAGTAGCATAGCTGGGCTGCATTAAACTTAACCCCAAATTACTAAAGTTGTGAGTGAACTCACCATAGCTTCAGTTCGGCTCTGTAGCTCCTGTCTTTCTCTCTGCAGCTGGGAGATCTCAGCTGCCTGGGTCTGCACCTGCACCCTCAGAGACTCCAACTCCTGCAAAACAACAACACACTCAGGGAAAACTCTTTAACACACTGACGAGCGTAACAAGGTAACATTTGCGCCAGAAAAAAAAAGTTTATCTGTAATCTTCTATATGATGAGCCAGAGAATCAGGATGTGTCAATGAGCTGCATTAATATATAACACTGTAATACTATCCTGCTCTGATGAGGCTCTTCCCGCCCTTGGCCTTCATTAATTAAAAGCTGTGTAAAAAAAGAGAGCACAGATTTGACCGACTCCTGTGTCTGATTCCTGAATCAGAAGCACAGTGTAATATGTCTTTAAGCGATACATGGAATAGTTGCAGCATTTGTTTATACCAAAGTGCATGTAATATAAAGTACATCCACTTCTGTGTGCACAAATTGTTAGTATTACTGTTATTTCCTCCTTTTACACTTATTGTTGTGATAGATGATACTGATTATTTTGGTTAGTGAACCACAAATCAAGCATTTTTTTCAACTATTACTCTCAAATTTTCTTGCACTCCCAACAGCGCGAGTTTGAACGTAGAGATACGATAGTGTCTGTGAATTTTGCTTGCACTCATTTTACAATCAGCAACTTTCATGCGTAAGGACTAAAATGCTTAACATGGGCACAGTTCGTGCTATGGAGGGGTGATGCACACTCTCATACCTTCAGTAGTTCTGTGTTTTCTGCTGCAGCTGTTGACCCATCAGATGACTGTACCCCCTCTGCTTTCTGTGTGAAATACATCAAACAAACCAAACATTTAAACTCAAAACCAAACACTCAAAAGCCCATTTCACAAATACCCTTTTACACACAAATTTCACTGTAGTTAAACGGGAAAGGGTCAAGTGTGAACACAAGCCAAAGTCAAAATGCTGGTAAACTTGCAGTTTATCTGTGTAAGAGCTAGTGCAGATCCGGTAAAAATACCAGAAGAGCTCAGGTGTGAACAGAGAGAACAAATCACTGGAGACTTAAGTAATGTATCGCTCCTGTTGTTCGTAGAGTCAAACTTTCAGGTTTTTTGTGAAAGAAAAACATAACAAGAGTGTATTTTGTACAATTCTAGTGGCATACCACTCAAGAGAAGCAGTATGGAGAGAAGCACGTGTGGCTGCTACAGTGCAAAAGTGACAAAGCATCCCAGAAAACCCAAATGTTTCTGTTGTGCAATCATTGGGTTTTCAGATTTGATGTGCAAATGTGAATGATGTAAAGCCCAGATCTTAGTGGTAAAGGTATTCTAGCAATGTACCGGGTTCTGAGTGTGAAAGGGGCTAAATACACATGAATACAACAGGTCCAGCTACAGTTTGTAGCCCATTGGTTGCTGCACATTTCAGCAGTCCCTCTCTACACTCATTCATTATTGGTCAGTTTCTGACACCAAGACCACTGTTGCCCAGCTATTATTTGCGTGGTGGACTATTCTCTCCACCACATTGACCTAATAAAATGGTGTAGGTACAAGGATAAACAATAACGCAGGGCCATTTCACACCTGAGTCCGGACCAAGGTCTGAACCAAGGTTCATGTTTTTGTTACACTGTATACATTTGATCCGGTTAGTTTCGGTTTCACATTGCAATTTTTGCAAGTTTTTTCAAGTTGACTTTTGACTTTTTCATCAAGCCAAATTAAACTTTCATATTTCATCTTGTCTCCCTGTGCGCTACCGTGGCTCATTCTCTTACAGTTAATTTTTGTCGTCTTCTGTTGTTTAACGGGTGACAATAGCCTGCCTTAACTTCCTGTAATTAGTCTGAAAGTCCGAACCATCCAAAAGTGTTTTCACACTGCAGACCAACTTAACCATGGTTCAGTTTGATCCTGACTTAGACCACCTCAGACCAAATTTTGGACCTTTGGTCCGGACCATGGTCCGAGGCACATTCCACACCTGCTATTTTATTTTGCAAGTAAAAAGTTCTGACCAAACAAGGTAGGTAAAAAAAAGGACCCTCAGTGTTCATAAGACACACCAGGCTGGCAATGAGTGTGTCCTTCTCAGCAAGCTGTGTGTTCAGCAATGTGTGTTGCTTGCGTAGCTCCTCCAGTTCTTCTCTGAGCAGAGTGAGCTCCTCCAACTGAAGACCATTCACCTGACCACTGTCAGACTGACCACTGTCTTTACCTACAGTGAGAAAGAGGAAAAGAAACTTTAAAAGCCTGCCACTTAACAATTGAATATGCAGTCTCCAAAGTTTTGCCATGAAAAGCTTTTCTTTATTTCCCACAAAAAATATAATATGGACATGTCAGAATTACAGTCAGCCAATTTTCAAACAAGGATATTATTCTCTAAGAATGTTGCGTATTCTGCTTTAGCCAGAATCTACCGATAGCAAACTAAAGATTTCTAAGTGTATTCAGACTCCCTTTTCTTGTTCACACTAACTACAGTATTAGTGAAAAGTTCTGGAAAGCTTTCTCATGGAAGTTTTAAATTTTATTATTTAATTTTCCACAGTTTAGAAAAATAGTTAAAACATAAAAACTATAAAATAACACACATGGAATTAAGCACTGACAAAAAGTCACACAAATCCTCTATAAATCTTCTATTTTCAATTCTTCAAATCCTCTGTCTTAATGCAGTTTTACACACCGTTGGTGTTCTATCAAGCAGCTTCATGAGGAGCCACCTTGGACGCTTTTCCATCAGGTCTAAAGGGCATTTTGAATTTTTGTTTTGGAAATAAATTCGCACAAAGGTAGCAACTTTGTTTATATTTGTCATAGACAGAAATGTCAAGCATTATGAAAAAAAAACATTAAATTAGGTGGGTGTAAATGTTTGAATGGAACTGTGCTTAAACTAAGACTTAAATAATATTTGTGTTTATAGTTTGAATCTGAGAATGTTGTACTAGTCTGTGTGTTAATAGTACAGTACAAAAGTCAGAGACCACCCTTCATGTATTTAATTTTCAGTCAAAATTTTGTCTCCACCCTCTGCCTTTATTATAGCTTTCATTCTTTTTAAAAGATTTGTTTCACAATATTTTTCCACACCTCCAAAGTTCAGTCTTAGAAGCTGGCAGCATTTTCTGCTTCTCATGATTCAATAATCTCAATCACACACAGTGATACTGAGGTCTGGACTCTGGGGTGGCCAGTCCATTGCTCTGAAAACACAAGCAGCTTCTTTGTTTGACTTGCAAAATTTATTTTTTGTCTATTTCCTTTTCTCAGTAACAGCTTCTTGACAGCAACACATCCTTTCAGACCCAATAGATTGAGTTTTGTCTTTTCACAGTGGAAGGATGGACAGAAACACCTGTGGATTTTTAAGATCTGAAGTAACATTTGTGCTTGATTTTCTTCTCTCTCTCTCTCTCAAAGATGTAGGCTTTCAACACCATTTATCTGATGGTGACCGTTTTGGTGGTCTACAGGTTCTTACACAGTTGTTAGGAGTCCCAGTTCCTCTATACCTTCTAACAATTTCATAACTCCAATTTTAGAAACACCTGTTTTTTTTTTTACTTACTTTTCTTTGACTTTCCCTTACTTTATGCCAGTGGATGATCTTCTATCCAATCTCCAGCTAAATGGCTGTTTATGGCCGTTTTGACTGGAACTGAAATTAACAAAGGGGTGGTCTCTGACTTTTGCATAGCACTGTAGTTTGAGTCTGATGGATGTTGTACTGGTCTGTGTGTGTATATTACAATACCTAGTTTTAGTTTAAGGATGTTGTACTGGTCTTTATGTTGCTGGATCTGAGACAGCTGTTGGGTGATGGTGTTCTGCATCTGATCTTTCTGGGATGCCAGTGTAGACACCTGCTCTTTCAGCTCATTTATCTGAGCATCCTGCACTCAGAGAGAAAGGAATTTAAAGATAAAGGGGGTGCAAGAGGAGAAAGAGCAGGGAAGTAAAGTGAAGAAGGGGGTAGGGTAGAGAGAGGGAAAGAGAACAATATAAATCAGTTCTCCATTAAACCACACTTAATTACATCAAAGGCATCTGTACAATCTTACAGGTGAAGAGATGAGCAGAACAGCCAAAGCTGGGGGAGCTAAAGCTGAAAGATCAAAAGCTAAAGGAACTAAAGAAGCTAGCTAGAGCAGCTAAAAAAAAACGTCTGGAGGAGTTGAAGTTAGAGGAGCCGAAGTTATAAGTTGGAGGAACTAATACTGGAGGAACTAAGGCTGGAAGAACTAAAGCATCCATCTGGAGGAGCTGAAACAAGAGTAATGTAAGTTGAAGCAGCTGAAGCTGAAGGAGCTAAAGCTGTAGGAACTGAAACTAGAGGAGGTAAAACTACGGAAGTTCTAGTTGAAGGAGCTAATCTGGAAGACTTAAAGCCATAAGAGCTAAAGGACCAAGCTGAAAGAGCTGAAAGTTAAGGAACGAAATCCTGTGAAGCTAAACCTGGAGGAACTATAGGACTCAGAGCTGGTACCTGTTCCCTAATCAGTTCTTTGTATTGAGTGACGATGCTATCATGCTGCTCCAGAGTCTTCTTCACTTCTTCCTCTTTCTTCTCTTCCTCAGTGGACTTATGCACTGCCTTTGTTATGACACCTGCAGAGACATGAGAAAACCCAATTATTTGACTGGCTTGAGCTATAGCATCACATATTCAAAAACAGTAGCAGCAACACTGAAGACTGATTTTTGGTCATACTTTCCGTTCATCACCACTGAGGAGAGGAATTTACTACAGGGGTGTGTGATATGCCAAAAATATAACATCATATTACTTGCAGATATTTTTGTTGGTCTGATCAGGTGGAACTGGCAAAAAGCCCCAGTAGTGCCACATTAAATAAATGTACATTTTTTTTTTTTTTTAAACATTACACAAGTAACTTTAGCCCTGATTTATACTGTTTAGGTATACAGTATGTGAGGAAACAGTGTGTGGACAGATTCACACAGACTTCAAGAAGGCAACATATGCCTCCCTATCAAGACATTACTACATTGTTGGAAAACTGTGACCAAACACATAAGCATGTCTATTTGAAATGGTCTGAGGCATGCAGTTAGAACCAGCTTCATGAGCCTCATAGCTCCAGTGCTAAAACTAAACAAACAAATTCCAGACACATCTTGGCTGATCGAATACATTTGGTGCAAGATTTTTTTAAAGAGTTCCAAAAGTTGTAGCACTGACCCTCAAGCTCTTTGACAAGTTTGGTAAACTCGTGGTCAAAAAGCATGTGTTCTGGAGTGGAGAAGGCTGGCTGTGGTTTCTGAGCAGCGCGAGAGTAAAGCTCATGCTTGGTGATGAAGCCCAGCTTCTCCACAAAGTTCTCCTTTCCTATACGCTTCTCAATAAGCTGCTTCAGCTTCTCTCTAAGAAAGGCACATATAGAGAGAGATCAGGTAAGGGAAAAAAATCTGCTTGAACATTAAAAGAGTCAAAATTATCAGCTTCGCTTCAGTAGTATTGACAGATGATCTGATAGACAGAATATATGGATGTGTACTTGGTATAGTTTTCCAGTGAGTTGTCATTGTAGTAGATGCAGATACCCAGCAGTAGAGCACACAGACCCTGCACCAGTCGTTCATCTTCACCCAGATTTTCTGAAATTTGAGCAGTCAACTGCACACATAGTTAAGGAAACAAATTCGCAGTGATGAGTGTCCACATCATTAGTGTAGATCAGTTTTGGAGTACCTGGAGTACCACTGCCCTGCACAAATTTGAGCTTTCCCTTCTAAAATATCAGACGCAACTAATGACTAATTAATAAGGCCTGAGGTCAACTGTGTGTTGAAGCAGGAAAGACATTAAAACATGCAGGGCAGTGGTCGTCCATGCCTACAACTGAGAACCACTAGTGTATATGATTACATTCCACCTTCTGAAATTTCAGTCTTAAAATTATGCAGACAGGTCAGACACATCAAATTTCACTATAAGTTCAAGATACACTACAAGGTATAGGTTCTAAAGACAAGCATTATGTACGATACTTGTCCAAAAGCACCCAGAAACGTGCTTAATTGACTTTTCTTCCAAAATCATTGGAATTAATAGGAAATGTGTCCCTCTTTGCTGCAGTGGCAGCCTCTTACTCTTCTAGAAAGGCTTTACACTAGAGTGAATATTGCACTGAGGATTTGATTTCATTCAGCCACAAAAGCAAAAGTGGCCACTTCAACCTATCCCAAAGGTACTGGGTGATGCTCCATCACTCATCCCAAAGTTATTCAGTAAAGCAACGCAAACCAAAGGTGTTCGAAAAAGCTTCATTACCCTAACTCATTCCACTGGTGTTTGACGGTGCTCCATCAGCACAATGGAGCCTAAGGAAGTTCAAAGGAGCTCCATCACTCCAACTGATCCCAAACATCAAGTGAAGCATCATCACTCCAAGGCCCAATCCCATTTCTTCTTTTTACCCCTACCCCTTGTTTTCAAGTGTCACCCTAACCCCTTGGAACTGAGTTACAAGGGGTAGTGGTTGAAATCTTGCCCTACAAAATGGGACAACCCTCAAATGAAGAAGAAAGAAGAAAACTTGCTTCTTTAAGAGGCTACTAGTGCTGCTCTGTAGGCGACCCTGCCAATCTGCAGTGATAGCAGAGGAGGGTAAAGTTCAGCAACCTCACTGCTGGGTTGCTTAGCTTCTCGTTCAAATTTTCCAGTTCCACCTTAAATGGTGCAGCAGTTACATTCTGCCGCTTCAGGCGTCAGAACTGCTGGACTATTTCAGGTGGAACGGGAAAGTTAGCTAGCTAGCTACCGAGACATTAGCATGCTATTAGTAGGGGTGCGGGAAAAAAATCGATTCTTAGATGCATCGCGATGCGGACATGAACGATTCTGAATCGATTCATAAATGTCAAAAATCGATTTTCTAAATATTTAATTTATAACGTAATGTTGACGGAACGCAAAAGGCGGAACTGGGAAGTGGGTAAGTGCAGCGCCCGGACAGTCTGTGACGGCACACAACAAAAACACAACTGGATGAGTGAGAAATCCGACCGGCTCCCTCTGCATTAAAGCCAGGTTAGATCAGGAGTCACAACCCAAATGATAAGAAGAGACATGTTGTCATTCAACAAAAATGAAACTACCTCGGGAGCCACAACATTTAATGTCCAGTATGCCTCAGTATGTGCTAATGTCCTAGTATAGACTAAACAATATAAACGAGAGCGCAGATCTACTTCGCTCTGCTTTAAGCTTTGCCTACAGCTGCTTTCCTCCCATCTCCGCCAGAAAACATTTCTTCAGAAGTAGATCAGTTTCTTGTAAAATGTCTCGCAAAATTTGGCTGTCTTACGAGGCTGAAGTCGCTTCTTGTTCTCCAGCTTCTTGTTCGGATTTTCCTGTTCCACCTTAAAATTCTGACTGAGGCGCCGAATGTAAATGCGGCACCATTTAAGGTGGAACGAGAAAATTCGGAAGAGAAGCTCTTCATCTTCGCGACTTCATCTTTGCGACTTTTTACTGTTTGACAGTCTCTTGTTGCAGATTTAACTTGCCAGGAAAACAACTGCGCTGCTTATAAATGCAAATAACGCATCGCTGCTATGTGACCTGCAGTCTGCACGCCGGTTCTTAGTCGTTGCGAAACAGGGCTTTTGCGCTATGTTGCACACGCCCCGAAGATATTTTACTGACACACCGATCCCCCCGTCTCTACAACGAGCCCAAAACTAAAGTTAAAGTCACAAAAACCGGGTAGGACGGCTGTAACATGCTGCATGGACACCCATTGCCCCTGGATCTTATTTCACCGTAACTGCGCATTTTATCGCAGATGAGTGGCAGCAGCTTCTCATGTGCTCCAAAGGCAGTGAATGAGAGCCTTCCAGTTCACTTGCCACATCACTTCCATTTGATTTATTAATAAAATATATTGGAAGTAAACGCATTATGGATCATTACAAATACTTTGCTTTAAAAGTACCAAGTCCTCACACAGTGAGAAAATAGAAATGATGTATAGAAAAAAAAAGATGCATCGAGATGCATCGATAATCATTTTATAATCGCTAACCCTAGACATGAACATGCAAAATGGAGGGCTAAGGGCTAAGTGGTAGGGGTGAGGGGTGAAATGGGATTGGGCCCAACTCTTCCCAGAGGTGCTTCATCACTGCAGAGAACCTTTCCACTGCTTCTCAGTCCAACGGCAACAGGTTTTACAACCCTCTAGTTGATGCTCGGCATTAGGCATGGTGAGTCTGCTCCAGCGCATCCCATTTGACTGGCAATCCTTTTTATTAATGGAGATTACACAGTTACGTGTGCAGTGGGTGTCTCTAATTAAAAGGGGTATCTGGGCACTTCTAGGAAATAGTGCACCAAGCCCATGGGCATCAAATTTCACAAGCTTGAAGCTGAGAGCAGAAATGCCCGAGGACTGAAGAGCTGACGAGGACTGAAGAGTTGACGAAGCAGCAAAAAGGATACAAAAGGGACGTTGTCCTGGTTGTGCAGGAAGTGTGTGACGGCGATGGGGCAGTTACTCATCCAGGTACACAACAGCATGAGGAGACCCACCCTGGTCTGTACTTTACTGCCCTAAAAACACAAACACACACACACACACACATATATATATATACACACAACTTACATATACATACACAATCACATTTGTTATTTTTCTACATTCTCTGCAATTTGTTAGTGTTTCTATAAAATGGGCAAAGCTGATGGAAGGCTCCCAGAGCAAATCCCTAAAATAAATCAAAACTGAAAGCTGTAAATTCTGAAAAAAAGTATCAGATGTTGTCTGTATTCTATAGACATAGAGAGGGTTTGTCCACACAACAGGAATTTCTCAGCTAGACAACTTTAGCCCAAAGATAGGCCAATCCAATAGAAGAACAAAACAGAGACAATTCTTTTGCACAATGCTCACTTTGGGCTTAAATTATCCAGCTTTACAAAGAAATCCTGCTTAATGAAATATCCCCCACAATTACAGACTCAATATACATAAAGCCCTACTGGAGCTGAATTAGTTTTACCTGTGGCGGTTCAAATGATTAGTAATGAGATGTGTGATTTTAATCCAGTATGAATCTGCAGTGTAGTTTTTACAGTCTAGCAGTTATAACTGTGGAGTGATTTCATTCCAGTATGAATCTGTAGTGTGTGTATAGTTTTTACAGTCTGACAGTAATAACTGTGGAATGAACCTGGAGAAGTTACACAGTTCTTTATTCTAAACTAATTTGTCAATCAAATCACACACACACACTGCATTATAGAACCTCTTCTGGTAAAACGAATGCAAACAGAACAGGTCTTGTTCTTTTGTGAACACACAATTTTCCAAATCTCCCAGAGAGCCTGTAAATCTCAGGGTAAATACAGCACATGACACAAAGTTCTCATGGATCAGGTATGTTCTGTTTAACTCCTAGCCAAAAATATCAAATGCACCTTACAGTTATTACTGCCATTTTGCTCTGCACTACATTCGATTTACATTGCACTATCGAATCTACACTTTCCACATAGCTTCCCTACTTGACAATGAATCAGAATTAATTCAAATAAAGTTACAGGATGCTTTTGTTATAGTGATTACTGTGGGTTCACCCACCTAGCTTTGCTGTGTTTCTTTATTATTATATTATTATTATATTTATATTATTATATTATTATGTTGTATATACTTCAGCAGTTCACAATAAATAAGTCCACAATAATCACTGTGGAATGTAATGTAGCACTTTTCATTTATTTTAACTCTGTGTACTACTAATGAACTTGGCAACTAAGAAACTTTCAAAAACAGGAGCCTTGCTTACTGATCCTGAGCATGTTTGAACAAAAACAAGCATAAACAAAAGAAGGGAAAAAAAGTACAGATTTGTTTGTAAGAAGACAAGATTGTCCACAAATCCAAAAGTTAAAGAACACTGTTAGTTATATGTGAAAATCATATTAGATCAATAATATCAACATTCAGAACCACAAGATGGTAAATTAAACTGGGTTATTTAAACAACAGCAAACAAACATAACACTGGATTAGGACCACCATGCAAAAAAATAATACACATCTTCACAGTGACTAAGGCTACGTTTACACAGCAGGTAAAAGTGGCCCAAATCTGATTTTCTCACCAAATCTGATTTTTTTTTTGTTTGGCTGTTCACATTATCTTTTAAATGTGATCTGTATGCGACATCAGTCTGAACAGATCAGCTCCTAAACCGACCCGCATGCGCAAAAGAACAACGCTTCACGTGGCGGCTCATCCAAAGGGTAAACAATCATGACGGCCAGCGAACGCCAGTCGCTCCCGGAGCTTTCAGTTTCGTCTTCGCCAGCATCACAGGAGCGAGTATAAAGTTCCAATGACTGACAGCTGGACTCATCACCCAGAATGTGTTCGCCGAAAAAAGGTCACGTTATTCGGCCACGGCCACTTCTTGTCCTCGGATTCTTTAAACTGTTCTCTGACGCTGCAGCCTCGGTCTCCTCCAGCCGCGTTCGGCCGTTCCGTTCGAAACCTCTTCAAACACGGAGCGGTTTGATGAGTCTCTTCTAATGTTTTGGTACAGAAACATCACCCTAAATGTTTGAGTCTCAGCAGCGCGAAATTATGACGAATGTCGAGTTGGATTGACGTAAAAGTCGCATGAATTCCGATCTGGCTGTTCAGAGTCGCATTGCCGCAGATCGGATACGTATCGGATTTCAGTACCACATATGAAAGCGTCTTAAATCGGAACTGAAAATGTCAGATTCAATTTTTCGTTTTCAAGTGAATCGTTTTTTTGCTCTTCACACTGCCACACAAATGACACATCTGTGTTACATATGAGGAAAAAGATCGGATTTGGGCCACTTTTACCTGCTGTAAGCTCTAGCCTAATATACCTTATTCACCAGTGGCTCACAAGTTTGTAAACAGGGCATTTTGGTGCCCATATGTGCATCATCTGCTCAAAAATGCATTAATTTATTTCATTTATTAATTTTTTTAAAATGTATTGAAATCAGTTTACTAAATACTATTCAGTTTTAATTGGATTAAAAAAAGGTTAAAATATTTACAAAATTTACATTATACACTAGAAGCATTCAAAGTGTGATGACTGACAGATTAAAAGCTATTAAAGACAGTATAAATAAAAACATCCACATCATTTAAAATAGAAAATGAGGTTCTGCCTGGTGTAAAAAAAAAATTCAGTGCAGACCACTGACCTATATTTCACTTAATGTAAGATAAAATAACTATGCGTTCTCTTCAAGGTTTATATGAACAGATCACTTCCTCGTTTTCCTGTTAGGAAGACCGTGAAGGATTTCTAGGAGGCAATCAGATCTAAACTAGGTGTAAGCAATATGATATGATTGTAATAAATATTGTAATAAATGACATACTCTCTTCATTGAGCCCTACTGGCGATTTAGGGCTGGTGTGGTTTATTTTATTTTCATTCTGTAGTTTTAGTTATTTCCTTTCTATTTTCCCTATTTTAAATTGCAGAAGCTCATCAATTGATCAACCATTGATTGTAGGTGTTTCCTGACTTACAACAGAAAGTCTACTGTCCTTGGTAATTGCTTTTACGTGTTTACAACAACTGACTTAATCCTTAAAATGTACAAATACATACCAACATGCTTTGTGAGTCTCTTGTAACTACAAAATAGACTGAGGAAACTGATCACATTGTCACAACTCTGTTCCTGAGAAACATTACAAAAACCAGCAGCTCTGTATAGTTGTGTTTAATGGCTACTCCGCATCACATAGCAAGAACACTGACTGGTAAATTCAGGTTTCAAGAATAAGGATCACAAATTAAATGTTTACAATAGTTAAGTCTTTTTCTGCACTTTTCTGAAAGTTACACCCATGTTTATGCCTACGAATAAGAATGTTCTCAAATGTCTTTGAGTATCATGATGCTGTATCTGTAACAAAATGTAGTTATTAGAGTTCACATTTTAGGATCTCTTTCAGTATCTGTATTTAACTACTCCTACAACTAAAATGAGGAAAAAGTTACTTGTGCACAAGCCTGTGCCTGCAATCATACAATGTAACTATGAATAATGCATTCACTCTTGTTTTACAGGTCATGAGTCAAATATCATCCCATGGCATTAGTCAGGGTGTCTAACCCTTCAGAGCTCTGTGATCCAACACAATTATGTGAACCATTCAAGGGGTTTTGTCAGCTGTGAACAGCCAGTGTTCCCAAGTGTTGTTCTGGGTGTATTATGGGATAAATGGATGATTATATGGCTAAAAGTCTGCCATTTGCTGGAAGTGGAGTGAAATATTCATGAAATCACCCCCCCCCCAAAAAAAATAAATAAAAAAATAAAGAATAATGTTGCTGGTTGAGTTGGGTATCGTCTCAAAGTTCTTTTTAGGAACAGGGTAAAGGTGGTTCGATTCAACTAGCGTTTTTTTCCATACAAGCAAGCTTTTGGAAGTGGGAAAACTATATCTACTCTACACCAAATGTCCAAAAGTATCAAGAAGGGCCTTCTAATAAGTGATTTCAGTTACTTTAAAAGCATTTGTTGCTGGTACAAAATGTTCAATTGCACATGGACAGCTTGTGCCATCTCCACAGAAAATCATTTTACATAGAATAAGATGTTCTGGAGCAGCCTAAAGGAAATCAAACCTCCGTCTTTGTCAGTCCATGCATGTTTTCAAATGTTTTCATTTCATCTCTACATCAGGACTCTTTTTGTAACAAAAGTCAAGATGGTTCGAAAGTTTGTTTTTTTTTTTTAATATTTTATTTATAGATGGCTCCATACTAAAACGCAATGTATGTGTGCCATTTTTCATTCTGCATTAGCTTCTAAAGTGTAGGCACCCTATGGTCACCATGCCAATCGCCAAGTGTTGGCTAGAGAGTACTGGGCTGAAGAGCAGTGAAACTGCATTCTCCGGACGGATGTACCATCCAATACCTTTTGGTAAATAGTGGAGTGTTGTTTATAATCCAGAGCTAACTATCCATGTTCAGTACTTGACTTCACTGACGGCAATCAAATATTCACAGCAAAATGGTATCTAAAAACCTTTGGACATATAGTACATCTCAAAAAAATATCTTCAACTAAAGGCCTTTAACTACTACTGTTACTGTTTTAGATGAATTTCAAGTTTTTTTTTTTTGCTGAAATGTTCTAAATAAACTTTAAAACTTAAACGTTTCTGGTCATTCTATAATGAACTACACAAATTTTCTAATTTTTCCCATTTTAGCTTTTCTAGAGATGCCAGAAGAGGGAACGATACCTCAATGGCTGGAACTGATGCAAGACGTCCTAATAAAATAAAGTTATTAAAAGAGAAACATAAGGAACCTTGATCTTCACCTTTTCACACTTGGTCTCCAGTTGTGACGTAATGCAAAACAAAACAAAAAGAAAACAAGACGGGGGAGAAAGTAATCACAAATATTAGTGCTTAAATCTTTGGTTTAAGGTGAAAGTGAAATTGAGGTAACTGCAATTGTCATTGTCCACCCGCTACACTGCCACCTACAGGACAGGCGGCGAATGAAAGTGGTGATCTTTTTCAAACATGCCCAGGGATTCACACAATGCCTGGATCTACATGAAGAAGGCCCCAAATAAACACAGCAAGGGGTCAGAGGTCAAAAGGTCAGAGCCAGGGGCTACCAGAGTAAGTAGTGGAACAACAAATAGGGAAGAAAGCAGCAAACGGGGGAACAAGAGAAGCAAAAGCACCCCTATACGTAAAAAAGAGGGGGCACCCTGCTAAGGCCAAGCCAAACCATCACAATACGCTGCTCACACACAGACACTTACCCTTCGGCTGATCTTATCACCCTGCAAAATCACAATGCAACACGGTTCAAATTCAGAGAGACACACGCTGTCACTGACAAGCCAGGTTGGATAATACAACAATAAAAGCTACACAGAGATAGATGTGTGTCTGTCAAGGGCACAAGCTCAGTGCTACAGGCAGCATCCAAGCTAGTGCTGGTACATACAATCATCTTAAAACGATATTTTTACAAAAATCGTCAAATTTATCCCTTACCTCAAATGCAGTCCATCACCAGAGACGTTTGGTGTCTGAAGTTTGCTTTAGTAACACTAAAGTTATGAAAGTAATGTAGCTAGCAAGTATTTGAAGCTTATACCCCACCAATTAGCATGGCACAATTCTAAAAAAGTTGGGACAGTATGTGAAATGCCAATGCTAATAAAAATCAGAAAGCATCTGCAAATTCTGATTGACCTGCATTAAATTGAAAATGATACAAAAACACAGTATTTGATGTTTTACCCTAGGAACCTTGTGATTGTAATTGTTTTTGTAATTATACACTCATTCCAGATATGATGCCTACAACATATTCCAAAAACAGTTGGGACAGGAGCATGTTTACCACTGTGTTACATCATTACATTCTTTTTCTTTTGAGCTTAATAAGACACATTTTCAATGAGAAACAGCTAGGCAGGCAGGTCAACTCTCTGATTACGCAGCCATGCTACTGTAACACGTGCAGAATGTGGTTTGGTGTAGTCATGTTGAAATAAGCATGGACAGCTCTGAGAAAGACGGCATCTAGAATGCAACACATGTTGCTCCAAAATGTGTTCAGAGTTAATTGTTTTAAAGATGTGCAGGTCACCCAATAGTAGCCCCTCATACCATCACAGACCCTGACTTCTGAGCTTTATGCTAGTAACAATCTAGATTAGGGGTGTCCAATCTTATCCACAAAGGGCCGGTGTGGCTGCAGGTTTTCACTCAAAACAAGCTGGAGCACACCTGACTTGTTTAATCAGTTTGTCTCAGTCTTCTGCTGATCAGTTGATCTCCTGCTTTGTGGGAATGAAAACCTGCAGCCACACTGGCCCTTTGTGGATAAGATTGGACACCCCTGATCTAGATGGTCCTTTTCTTCTTTATGACTTCCGCTGTGCATAGTACAGTCTTTACTTGCATTTGTGGATGCAGCAATGAGCAGTGTTTATTGTTTATATATTCCTGAGCCCGTGCAGTGATATTCATCACAGCAACTTGCAGGCTTTTAATGTAGTATCATCTGGGTGATCAAAGGTCATGGATGTTGATACATTCATCTGTGATTTTCTCCCTTTTCCTTTACATGCAGAAACTTCTCTGGATTCCCTGAATCTGTTAACAATATTGTGCAATGTAGAAGGAGAAATACCTAAAATCCTTGCAATCTCTGGTTGATTACTGTTATTTTTAAACTGTTAGATTTTTTGGCAAAGTGGCGACCCTCCACCCATCCTTGCTCATTAAGGACTAGGACTTTACTGAAAGCTCCTTTTATACCCAAGCATGATTGCCTTACCTGTTTAAGATGGGTTTTCTTGAACATTTTACAATGTTTCTTGTCTTAAACTGCCCATGTCCCAATTTTTTTTGGAACATGCTGCAGGCACCAATTTCAGAATGAGTGCATCTTGTCTTTGTACTGATTTTGCTCAAATACAGGTAAAAGTAGATTTTTAAATCACTACTTTCAGTTTTTATTTGCATTTTACCTACTGTCCCAACTTTTTGAAAGTGGGTTTGTAAGAAATGTAGAAACAGAAAGTGTAACCTGCAGCTAATTTAGCTGAGAATTTGTGATACATTAGCTATTGCACTAGCTTGCATACTTACTATGCAAACTACAAGCTAGCCAATTGTGTTTCAAGTTGTTTTGCCTCTTTCCTTTACACTCCAAATTCACAGCATGTAGCACTTTTTCCCCTCTGGCTGAAATGTCACAACGCATAGTCTTGAGTAAGTCAATTTGATATTACTCAACAACTCACAGTTTTAGGAAAACAAGTGATGACTTAGGAATGCAGTTAGCACCAGGCTAATTGATGAGACGAGAAGCTTCCATTACACATTAGCTGCATTAGCCTCATAGCCTTAATGCAAAACTAAAGAAACAAACTCGAGACATGTCTTGTCTGATCGACTACAATTGAGGTAAACGGCGTAAATTCAACCCCTGGATGAGCTTCGGACATTTATACTGTACCATAAGCTACAAATGCAGCATTTCTGAACCACAATACACATGAATATTGTGTTAAACAGGCATGTTTGGTGTGCATGGTTGGCTATGAAGGCCTGAAGTGTGCAGTGTGTGTATATGTTTGTGTGCATGTGTGTGTAGGTTACCTGTGACAGTATGTTTGTGCATTGCTGCAGCAGAGAGACTGGAGGTTTTCCCAGGCTGGTGGCCAGCTGGACCCGCAGCAACTGCTCCTTTTGAGTAAGATTGTCCTGCAGGGCGTGACCCAGCGCCACTGCCGCACACCAGTTAGAAAGAGAGTCCGCCGAGAACAAACCACCACACAACAGCTGACCCGCAGAGATAGAGTTAGCTGGGTAGAGGGAGAGAGCGGGGAAACATGAGAGGGAGGCAAAGCAGAAAAGAAGAAGGTTGTGAATGGGCCAGGTGAGAAGGCATGGTTGTTTAATAGTAATTTCAGTGGGGCAAGGCTTTTGTTCAATATGGTGCAACATTCAGCAGTAAATCCTAACAGTCTGAAGAATTACATGCTTTCTGTAAAAGGGAAATATGTCAAAACAGCAGAGACATCACATTTCACAATCACAGTTAGCAGGTATAACAGTAAGTAACCTATATGTGAAATCACAAGAAGAATGCATTGTTGTCTAATGTATCTTCATTAAATCAAAATTTCAGCATCAAAGGAGATAAACAACAAAGTGACTGAGTGCTTGTAATGTGCCTCGAAAAATTCCCGACTAACAAACAAACACCCCTGTGAATTATTGGGCGTGTTCAACCTCTGCAAAGTGAAACAAACTGAACCAAATGAAAAGGATATAAATTCACTCACACAAAAGAGGGAAAGAGAGACAAAGAAGCAAAGACAGGGTGTGGAACAAATCTAGAGAGAGCAAGTCTTACCATCTATAGTGGAGGGCAGCAGAGTGGCCACTATCTCCCCCTGACCCTTCTGATTCTTGTAAAGGAAACACTGGAAGCAGTAAAGAACAGCACAGCGAAGAACAAATGGCTGCCTCTCATTCACCATCGACATCAGCAGCACCACTATAGCAGGCCTGGGGGACAGAAAACAACTCTTATTCCAGCCACCCTGCTAACACAAACTCACAGCCTGTAGGAGAGTAGCTGTCAGGAGTCTCACCGTGGAGGGTTAGATGGAGCATTGACGGAGGCAAAGTAATCCTGGTTGACCTGTGAGCCACGGATGACCTCTGACACAGTATTGATGGTCTGCAGAAAAAACAGACAAACGGTTAAACAATCAAATAAACAAAAACAATAAGACCTAGGCCTAATGCTGTGTTTACATTACAACCGTAGACTAGCACAGGCAATATGACGACATTTACCGATAATGTGATAAATTGCGTCACATCATACAAATTCTCTAGGCATACTGTGAATATTAATTGCATTTATTGCAGTGCTGAATACATATCACATACATATTCTTTTTAATAGTAAAAAGAGTTTTTATTTTAATACATATTTTATAATATATTCATATATATTTTATATATATATATTTTTTAAATAGTTTTTATAGTATTTTTCAAATATGGCACTTAAAAAACCTCACCTCTTAAAAAATTTGTGCAATATATTGGCACTTATTCATCAAACTGGCATAGAAACGAGTGTCCTAAATGGCATATTAACTACCTCGTGTCTAATTCAGGAAACAGTCGTAGGGTGACAAAATAAGCAGTGATTTGGGCTCATTTAATGAATCAGCTTCTGTGCGTCGAAACAAACACCAGCACACAAGCACCTTATTTAAATATCATTTGCAGTGGGCATGCCCCAATTTGCCCTCCTATATATATGATTTACATGAAGCATCTAATTCATACAGAATAATGAGCAAATAAAACAAAAGAATTCAGTAGACTCAGGAGCCAATGGTTGTCCTCATAGGCAGAGTCTGAACTGTATGTCCTACTGGCCAGAGGTTAAATAGCTTTATGGTGTTACAAATACAACGTCCGAAAAAAAATTAAATGTGAAATGAACAATGTCACAGCCTTTTAATTCAGATGGTAGAGTAATGTGATTGTGTGAGTGATGCAATTGTATAGGAGTTTCTACTACACTAGGTAAGCTATGTTTTGCATTTTTAGGGAGGTCTTTTAACTTTATTAGTAGTGCAGCAATAGTCTTTAAATGAAATGCATAGCTACAGCATTTGTTTATATCACGGAGCATGTAAAAAAAATAAGCAGAAAGATTGCTGTGTGCTATGTCTGAGTTAATATTATCAGTCATTTTCTATTTTTACTGTTATTGCTGATACCGATGTTACTCAAAATTTGTTTATGCAACCACAAATCAGGCATATTTCAGGTTGTTAAAAAACGCTCAAATTTACATGCACTTCTATAGGATGTGAGTTTGATCTTACAGATAAGCCAAAGGTGAAATTAATGAAAGACAAAAAATGTACATGAAATCTGAGTGCACGCATTTTACAATCAAATTTGACTGTATGCAACATTGATAAAAGGGGCCACTGGATATAAAGTCATATTAAAATGCCTGAAGTATTATGAAGTATCATGATATATTTTTTGCCATGTTGTCTACCCTTGTGGTAGACAGATGACGGCAAACTGGATGTTCCATAGCTTTCGATTTTCAAAGAGAAAATTCTGACACGCCACCAGCAAGAGCAGCGTACTGCAGCAATCAGCAAAATATTCCACCAAGAATGAAATTTTCCCAATTTTTTTCAATCTTTCCCAATTTTTGCTGGCAGCTTCAGCACAAGTTGATAAAAAAAGCTGATTGGTGGAATAAACCAGATTCTTATTTTTCAAAAACACTTATAGGCGCAGCCACTAATGAACAACAATAACAAAACTTCACTGAAAACCCACCATAAATTCAACAGCTGTCTTCAAGACACTTTATATGATGGCACAGAGCATAACACCATTGCCCTGCACACTAGCAGGATCACCATTGCTATTTCAGTAATGCTATCACCATGGCACATGGTGACAGAGCTGCATGCTGCCATTGGTCACATACTGTAAACGTTTTGTTTTTGTCAGGTAATTCCGCTATGAAGCAATGCCAAGGTGTAAACAGTTAATAATGCTGAGGTCAGGGAGTGCATGTGAGAGCACATCTGAGAGTGTCTAAAAAGACACTGTCTTCCCCTGCCCCATCACTGACCCAAATATCTGTTTGTGTGTGTGTTTATTTACCTCAGTGAGTATATCAGCAGGTACTCCAGTGGCCATCAGTATAGTACAGAGCTGCTGCAGTAGGCCGCACTGGAACATGGCTTTCTGACAGCTCGCTGTGGCTCCAGGAGAATTTACCGGAGACACCATCACTCGCACCAGCTACAGACAAGGAGAACACACACACACATATACACACACATAAATGCAGGCATACATACACACACATACACAAAATTAGTTTGAAGGAAAACCTGCCATTTAACTATATATATTATTTACATATATATGTATGTATGTATGCAAATAGCACATATATATGCTATTTACATACATAAATTGACACTTTTTCTTAACCTCTAAATAACATACATGAAGTTCAAAATGACAAATTTTCAAAAACAAACATTTTTAAAAACAAAACCATGAGAAAGATTAAGAAATCAAATCAACAGCATTCGAGATGTGGCATGAGTAGCTTTGTGGGTTTATGCTATTTTTCATCATTCATGCACAAGCATTCAAAACCCAAAGACAATAAAGGGGCATTTCAGCCTAAAACTAGTGTCTAATACGTTGTTTACTGTGTAATGCAGTAATCTGTGGCTCAGCATTACTTCCCTCAGCCTCATGAGCTTGATGCAATTAAAAATTTTTGCGTTTTAAAATTTTCCTTCATCAATGTACTCTCACTACAACACCCAGAATGCATTATGCAAATATGCCACAGAACCACTGGGAATCCACAGAGTGATGAAGAAATCCTGACATCTAACTTGATGTTAAGACCAGTAAACCAAGCTAGCAATAACATTTTAAAACAGCCTGCCCCTAAAAACTGCCCCAAGGCATTAGTAGTTCTTCAAAAGTTCCTCTAACCTTTAAGATACATCAGCCAAATTGGGTTGTTTTGGAAAATTTCATTCTACAGACTACCAGTGATGGTTATATTTATTATTTATTCTGGCCAGAGTGTGTGTGTGAGTTTCTTGTTTAGCCCCTTACCTGCAGCATGAGGTGCAGGTTAGTGACCTTCTGAGCAGACCAGCCTGAGTTATCATCTCCAACTTCAAACCATGGCTTCATCCTCTGGATATAGGAGCCTTCCTTAAAGAAGTTCTGATTAGAGCTGTTGTTCTTCAGGAGGTTCAGGAGGAGCAACAAACAGTCCTCCACTACAATACCTACACAAAGACAGATAAATAGATAGATAGATAGAAAGCCAGAAGAAAAATGAATGACATTAAAAAAACACCAGGTTTTGAACTACTACAATTCCTATCCTCACTACAGTTTAACCCCTAGAAATTACAATTAGTAGAGGCAATCAGAAAGCCATACTATAATTTCATATAAATTATTTTTGACATTTTTGACTTGTAGCTTATTGAAATGAGCAGAGAAGTGTGTGGGAAGAGCAAATGACAAAACTTTCCATCCATACCCACATTTATATTTGTAAGTAGCAGATGGCATATTACGATTTGAATTTGTCCTTAATTACACTAAACACAATGTGATTGGTGGGTGTTTATCTATTCTTTCTGAAAGGGTTCAGAGAAAGCAGCAGAGCTGTAGTTGAATGGTGACAGCTTTGAGCTAACCTCCATCACTGGTGCCCTCCTCTGTGATTATGTCCAGCAGTCTCTCAAACGCATTCTCAAATGCCACAATCTTCTGAATGGCAGCATTGCCTTTAGTTAGCTGCTGCAGCAGCAAAAGACCCTTATCAAGAAAAATAAACAACGCAGATTTTTAACAGCTGTCTACAGCAAAGGTAGAACTTTAATCAACATCAAAAGGAATGTAAATTCTCTCTGCATTTTTGGTACTGCAGCATTACTGAACCTACATCATTGCGGATGACCTCTCTGGAGTCAGCCAAAAGGTCCATCAACCTGGAAACTCCTGCAAAGGTAAAAGACAAGGCAAAAAATTATCAGTTATGTAGAAATAAAACATGAGCAGGAGGGCAAGTCAGAGGACCATAACTGCTGATGTGAATGTCTCATGAGATGTTGGTCATCAGAACCTGTAATTTTTGAGGTTTCTTATATGGATCATCGGATATCATGACCTGTTCTGTGCTGTGATATGTGTTGCTAGTGTGTGTGGTGACAGTGTGGTTGGTGCTGGAACGGTTGGTTGGTATTAATGGTTGTTGTTTGTGGAGGAGTTGGTTTTGGTGGTGGTGCTGAGGTGATTTGAGGTTGGCATGGTTGGTGTTGGTGGAGGTGGTGTGGTGGGTGTTTGTGGTTTGTGTTGGTGGTGTTGGTATTGGTACCAAGGGACAAGCTGGTGCTAGAGGTTAGCTTAGTTGGTGGTGGAGTTGAGGTTGGGGTGGCTGGTGATGGTGAAGTATCTTATGGTGTGGTGTTATTGGTCATGGTAGTGGAGCTGCCGGATTTGAGGTTGCTGATATTGGTATAGAGTAGAGATGAAACAATATTAATATTTCATATCACGATTATCATGACCAAAATTATCACGATTATCGGTATTATTGCGATATTGTTCAAATGTGTTCAAAAAAGTAAAATAAATTAAAAAATAAATAAATACTGATACACAAATTGAAACTCGTTTCACCATCTTTTATATTAACACAAATAGAATTGGCAGCAATATTCACTTTTTGTTTGCATAAACATTAAAAATAAGGTCAATACAAAAGTAGCGGGTGGTGGTCGCGACTCATAAGGTTTGACGTGTTGCCCACTTTCGCCGCTATTTTCTTTCGGCCTGTTCTGCAGACAGGGTGGTCATCTGCAGACAGGGTGGTCATCTTCAATTAACTTTCCTTCTGCATTCTTATAAAAGCCAAAATATGACCAAACGTCAGACTTGGTCTTCTTAGAAGGCTGAAATATCTCCGAATCTCGCGGTAATTGACCGTGGTTTTAACGATACTTTAAAGTTCAAACGGTACTACTAACCGTCATTAATTTTACCGCGGTTTACCGTGAAACCGGTAACCGTTTCATCTCTAGTATAGAGGAAGCAGCTGGTGTTGGCGTTGGTGGAGATGAGGCTGTGGTGGTTGGCAATGGTGGAATTTGTGTTGTGGGTGTTGTTGGTAATGGAGTCAGTGGTGGAATTAAGGTTGGTAGAAATGAATCGGTGGCAGTGCAGAGGGAGCAGATGGTTAGGGTTAGGGTGTAACCGGTGTAGTTGGTATTGGCGGTGTTGGTGTGGTTGGGGATGAAGTTGGTTTTTCTGTGGTTGGTGGAGTTGCAGCTGGTATTACAGTTGATGAGGTACTGGTGTTGAGGATGGTGATACTAAAGGTGTCGGTCTGACTGACCCATGGGGCTGACGAGGATGATGCCCTGCACCTGAGCACACTGACACTTCAGCAGAGCTGTCAGAAGCTTCACACCGGGCCAGCGCACATGGAAATCAAACTCCTATAACCGAACGAAAGAGACAGATTATGAACATTTATATGAGTGCATGTATAAACACATGCAAATGTGTATATACACAGAAGAAAATATTTGCATGTCTGAATGAGGACATTTATATGTATAAACATTAGGTTGACCTCTAGCATGGTCAGAAGAAGGGTCACATTCTCTGGCTCTTGAATGAAGCGTTCAGTGAATTGAGCTCCTATATCATCCTCCTGTCTCCTCTGGGCATCCTCTGAGAGAGACAGAGAGAGAGAGAAAAACAAAGAGTCCATACACTGTGGTATTTACTCTGTATTAGAGTGAGGGTGTCTGATGGTCAGAAGTCAAAGTGAGAGGGCAGAAGACAGGATGATTCAGGTAAGTGATGCTTTAGCTATAGGTGAGAAGGCTAGAAGCACTTCACCAAAACTATGAACACAGAAAGCAGGGGTTAGTTTCCAGTAAAGTGATGAAGAAGCTTTGTAATGTGCTGGGATATATTTGCTGTGGATGAGATGAGTAGATGAGAAGACGGAGGTGGAAAACACCAGATAAAAAACAGAGAAAGTTTAAACTTGTTAAAAGCCCAGAGGGGAGGTTTCAGATATACATGACCTACAGTGGAAAAGTTCTAGCTAGATAATGAGCTGCACTCTACTGACCAGGAGCTGCTACATTTTTACTCTTCACAGGAGCAGCATCTGAAAAGGCAAGATGGAGAGTGAACCCCATCCTACATACTACAGAACCTATTAATTTGTTTATTCCTCACATTATATAACACATTCATTAATTCATTCATTGACCTAACCATGTACCAAAGAACCAATTCACCCTTCCAATACACTGTAGAACCCATTTGTTCATCAATTCACCCATCCAACATACTACAGAACCCATTTCATATTACAGAACCCATTCCCTCAACCCTTCACCCACACATTTATTTATTCAACATGTAATAGAAGCCAATCACTAACACAGTCTATACCAATTCATCATATTGTAGAGCCCATTCATTCATCCAACACACACGAGCTGGGCAATGTTTATTGCTATCATGATAAATTATGTCGCAATTTGTTTTTCTGAGCATATTGTAAATACTGTCAGTACTTATGACTTAATGTTCAATACAAAATCATTAGATTCATAGTTTAATAATATTTTTAATGTGGCACTATTTTGTCTGTTCCAACTTATCAGACGTCAGAAAAAATACTGTGACACTGCGCATTGCAAAACCTTTTTGAAATATTGTGATATTACATTTTTGCCACATTGCTCAGCTCAGCAACACATTAGAGAGCCCATTCATCTGTCAATCTGCCCATCCAACATACTGCAGAGCTCATTCATCCAACCATTCATTAATTCTTTACACTGACAGTAAGTACTCTATACTGTAAAGTGCAAATAACAAGCCACAAGCCTGAAATGGGCCCTAATTATCACCACAATCAATTTAATCTTTTCACAAAATAATTAACAACAATGGCTAATTAAACTATTAACACATTTCAGGCAACAATGCAGGCAACAAATTACAGCTATAAGAGCATTCAGTTTTCTGGACTAATGTGCTACAAGTTAACCACAATACAGCCAAAACAAAACCTAAAAATACAGTCAGAAAGCAAAGGCCTGCAGAAAGGTCCTATGGCCTTATAAAGCATAAATAGGTCAGTGGTTGGTCATGCACACACAAGGCTTTTACCTTCAGATTCATCTGCAGGGTTAAACATGGAAGAAAAGAGAAGGAGGATCAGCAATATTGACATGTTCCCAATCAGTAAAACAGCAAGAAGGATGTTTAACTAACATCAGCTTGATATGACAATAAAGCATGGGTCATTTTCTAAATTTATTACGTGAACTTAAAATGAATCTCTCAACTCAAAGCAATAGTTTGGCCAAAAAATAAGTTTATCTAGTTTCCCTGCCTTACCCCAAATGTAGCCGATCAGCCCAGAGATGTTTGTTGTCTAATTTGGTGTCTGGTTTCCTTCTTTATTTTTAGCAGAGAATATGAAGCGAAGGTAATGGAAGCTAATACCCCACCATTTAACACTGTACAAAGCACTTGCCTAAATCATCTCACACTTGCCTCAAACCACGCTTGAAAATGAACAGCAGTGCAGGCAACATTTAGGCTTCAAGGTGGCTGCTAGTGTTTTAGCTATGTGATGTATTTTAGAACATGTTCATAAATAACTACATAACAATAATTATTTAACAACTCAAGGTGGCTGATTTGAGAAAAGAGGGAAACTGTGTAAACATTTTGTCCAAACAATCTTTTTAAGGCATGAAAATATAGCATGGATTACTGTCAACAATCAAAACTACTTCATTATTCTGTGTACATATCACATCAAACACAATTAAAATGTAAATACCTTGCTCCTCTTCTTCATCACTGCAGATAATATTGTACAGTGTGTCCAAAGCATAACCCAGGATTTCAGAGTCTGAACTGTTGTTGTGAGCATAAGAAGAAGAAAGGTCACAAGTTAAATTGACATATTGCAGTAGACTGTATGCTGAAACACGTAAGAACAAGAGCAGAGGGTGTCTAGAGGGAGTTAGCAGTGGGCATTTTCAAAATTACAGCAGTGTCTGACAGTGGTTGGAAAGAGTATATGGGACACACATGTGGAACAAATGACTTGAGAAATTTGACAATGCAGAAGTTGGCTTCTTATTCGAATTTCCTGTTCCACCAGTTACATTGTTGCACCTATACAGGTGCCAAATTGTAATTACTTCACCATTTAAAGTGGAATAAAAAATATGAACAAACTTCAGCATTACAGAAATTCAGATATGACTCAACATTTAGTACCATTCTTGCCAGAAAGCAATATTGACACTAATTTATCTATCTGTCATTCTGTTTTGTTTTTACTATTTTACACAACAAATAAGATAGGATTTATATAGAAACTATCAGAAATTTTAATTATACTGTGAATTAAATTTTTGGCCATACAGCCCAGTACTAGTTCAATTGAGTAAATGAAGCACGTGTTGTACCTGTCTGTCTGTAGAATGCGAATGAGATGGTCCATGGCCTGCGTGCCCACCTCCATACGGTATTTCTGCACACAGGACGCAGTGTTTATTCAAAACATCATCAGCTCATCAGGACAATGTTAAAGAAACAGATACGGACAGTAATAGAATATTAAACTACACCATATAGCATAATGCAAACAGCATGCCTAAATCATCAAATACTTGCAAAACACAAAAAGGAACAAATGTATAGACAAGATTCATACTTTAAAATGATCGCCTTGTGTCTAATCCACAAAACCCTCACCTGTCCATAAGTCCAATGTCAGATCAATGAGACAAATGTAATTTGATGTGCCATTTATTTAAAATGATAGTTTGGCCAATAGCCTGCTTCTTTAGTTCTAGCAGATATCTAGTACTTCTAATGCAGCTAAAAAGTAATGGAATCTTATACATCACCAATTAGCATTGTGCAGACCATATGAATAATCGAATAATGGACAAAAGTATTTTGGATAGCTAAAAACTGTAGTAGCCATCTTAAAGCCAGAATTTCGTCTGCATTTTTGTGCATTTCATAGATAGCAGTATGTTGTACAGTGTCAGAAACCACATAAGCAGCTCTGTTTGAGATTACTTAACAACTCCACCTAGGTTGAAGCAAGTGTGTGATGATTCAGGCTTGCAGTTAGCACCATGCTAAATGGTGGGGTATAAGCTTCTATTACTTGCTCACTACTTCAGCCTTGCAGCTTCAGAGCTAAAAGAAGTAAACTTCACACACCAAACATGACTTTATTTGGTGTACTGGGAGAAAATGAGGTGATTTCAGAAACATTTAAGCTTGATTTGACCAGAGAGTCTCTCTGTGGAAAGCATACTGAAGAGATCAGTTAACTTTGTTTTCAGCTAGCTCACTGTACAGAGCTGTAGTCTGCCCTAAAGCCTCTCATTCACGCAAAATAAACGTATTACACACGCCTGAGAGGAGGGTGGCAGCTGAGCAGTTCAGAGTCCACTACTTTCTGCTGGTTTCTCTTCTCCAAGCTGAGCCAGAAAAGCGGGTTCAGCAGCGGAAATTGCAGGAGTGGGTGCGTGTAAAGTATATTTTTTTAATCTAAACCCGAAACCAGAATGAGAGCCTTGCATTCCTTATCAGTAGCATTATTAGCAGAGCTGCAACTAAAGATTATTTGTATTACCAAATAACCTATTGAATATTATTGGATTAACACATTAATATAACTATTCTGCCTTGAACAGTTCCTCTCCTATGCCACCTCCATCAGTGAAACACTTTGGCAATGCAACAAGTAATTTATGGTGCAGCAAAACAACACCACTACACTTCCTGTAGTGTGTTCCAATCTGTCAGAATGATCGCATGGATCAAATGAACATTGCAGAGCATTAGAGAATGCATTTTAAATGAAACAATTGAAGCCACATTGCTCCTACACCTCCTGTAGAGTATTACAACCTGACAGTATGGCAGAATGGACCACATGAACATTACAGAGAGAACTTGTGTGCAGATACTGCATTAAAAAACACTACATGTACAAATGATAAGATAAGATAATACATGTACACGCACTGCATGCTCTACATCTTCTAATAGCAATAATGTGTTTTGTGGTTGTACATTTTGGGCATCTCTTTATTTTTTGCACAAAAAAAAATAAAATCACAGACGGCTCTTTGCATATATTTTACACAATGACAGCATTTCAAAGTGTCCATGATAAGAAAATGTTTGTTAAGAAAACATCACAGCATACTATTTTATAGAATATTAGCAAGTCTAAACAGAGCTATTGTGTTTTTTAAAAAAAGCATGCTGGCCTTCTTCCATAACTGACATCACTGACAACTACTCTACTTTTGTTGACTAACCTTTGCAGCCATACTAATTATACTTTTACCATATACAGGGCTGAACAATTTGGGCAAATTATCTAATTACTGACTTATGATTTACTGACAAATATTGTGATTTAAATTGTGACTGTTCTAGGTGCGTTGTTTTTTTTGGTGAAAAAGACCAAAAACCTCTCAACATAATGCACTAGACTGCTAGTTATTTGTCGTTTTGAGGTCACAGCACCTGGGTGTTAGGTTGCTTCTGGTTTAGGTTACCTTTCCCCATGTAAAATTTGCTAAGAGAACATGGTTTGATAATGTGGGCTAAAATTAACATTGCTGCTTTTGCGATTTGAGAACTGCACTCTTTCAAATTGCGTTTTTGATATAAAAACAATTAACCTTTCAGCCCTAATTCTATCTATGCATTTTAGATCTTACTACAGTTTTCAGCACACCACATTTGCAATTTATAAACAACCCTTTCTTATTCCACTACTGTAATGGAGCAGGAGACACAAACTTATTGTAAAAAGATTATGAAGGTAGTACAGGACTGACATAATAAAAGGAAAGCTTGCAGAACTGAAGCTTACAGCTGGTTTACCTTTGAGAGAGATTTTAAAGCGCGGACAGCATCTCTGCGGTCCTCCAGCAGGGTGGACGAGGCCACACGGTCGCATAGCTTCTGGATCTGCAGAAAGACAAGTGGACAGAAATACAATTAACTTCATTAAAGGAACGAATACTAAAATTCAACATAAGACCAAGCAGACAACTTAACGCATTTGATCACTTCTTTCTATTGTAATACTGAAAGCATGCTCAATCCCAAACAGACTAAACAGCACACATAGCAAATACATTTGCTGGTAGATCGTATTTCTATGGCTTAAACAGTACATGTGCCGCTGCTCTCGTCAGCCATTACCAGCAGGTGCTGAACGGAGCAGCTGCAAGGCAATGACTCTACAATTCAGGAAAAAAAAAACAGATTCATTTTTTAAAACACCAGACAGTAGATACCATCCAAGATCGCTGACAGGGCTAAAATGCTATAATTACAGATAGAGAAGCATCTCTCAGCTCCACCCACCTAAAGAAATGCTAAACGTCAATGTTGTTGTGGTTGGCATGTGATAGGTCACATTTTAATATTACTTTAATGTGTCATTACTTTTAATAGCATATTACTATAACATCACACTATTTTAAACACTACATTTCTTAAATGTCATTACCTTTTTTTTAATTCATATAATTTTATTGTCCACACTATTTTAATAGTAAATTATTTTATTGTCCAAATCACTGTAATCATTAATGATCTAGCATCCACATTACTTTACTGGCAAACGGACGTGGACTTTATGTCCACATTACTTTAACGTTATATTATGGGCATTAATTGAACATTTCATTGTCTTCACTTTCACAGGTTAGTAAACCTACAATCTGGAGAATCTGACACTTTAACCCACACAGGACGAATGGCAACAACGTCACTGTCTAACAGCAAACCCTTGACTTTAAAGCCCAAAGATATTCCAATAACACATTAAAACATTATTTATACTAATTATATGAATACTCTAATATTTGGGAGCTAATATTTACTGATAAACACAGGCAGCAGCATTAGCATTAGCCTTAGCATTAGCTTACAGTTTCCACTCCAGAAGGCTGCGCTCCGGCCTGCTGGCCTCCTATCACTCCTCTGAAGAAATTCATCCTTTTTATTAATCCTCCTCTTCGTCACCAGCCCAAAATAACACTTTTAAAGACGTCTTTTCTGTTATTTTCTCCTCTTTACGCTCCTTATGAGCCGCAGAGCTGCTTCCTACAGCACCGCCTTGCGCATGCGCGGAGACGTGGCGCTACGTGGCTGGACGGCGCGCACGCGCGGATTTCTTAAAGGGCCAGAGTCACAAGGAGAGTAGAATTGTCTGTATGTAGAATAATTTACACATTAATTAAATTACACACATTAGACAGGTAAGGCAATAGAAAAGACAGAGCACACAAAAATATATGTATCTTTAAGGTTTCTTTAGTAAAAACTGTGGTTCCATTTTCGAAAAGATTCTATATAGAACCATATATACAGTACAACACATTCTCCATCAATCTGAGGAAGCTTTTCACCATACAAAGAACCATTTAAGCATGAAATGGTTCTATATAGAACTCATGGTTCTAAATAGAACCATTCCCATTACTAAAGAATCATTGAAGAACCACTGTGTAGCTACAGTGCATGAGTATGCATATTTGCACGAGTGTTCAAAAGTTTGGAACGTTTTCAACAATATAAAAGTAATTTGACTAAAGACAAGTGCATAAAATTATTCTAATATGCTGGTCTTGTCCATCTTCACAGCTTTTAAATAATTAGTTGGACACTAGAAAGCTGTATATCAAAAATAAAGACATATTCAGAATAACAAACAGAGCTGTAGATCTTAAAATGACTGAGACAGCTGGAGAACATTGAGAATGAAATATAATACGATTCATCATATTTCAAAAGTGGAGGTCAAATCTCAGTCAACTTGATAAACAAATTCAGGTACACAATTGTAAAAGTGTATTGTTTCGCTTCTTGTTTACAGACTTCTTAAAATATTGAATTAAACATCTAATAATACCTTTTGGAGAATAGTTTGCAATATTTCAACCTACATTGTATAAATTATTTTAGCATATAAAATAAAAAAATACGATTAACATGGCAAGTGATTACAAACATTTTAACTGTAGTTTATATGGTACATGTCCAAACGTATCCAGACAGTACCTCTATATAGTGAATTCAGCTACTTTAAAGTGCACTCATTGCTGACACAGGTCTTCAATTGTGCACACACAGGTTATCTTTATTATAAAGCATTCTCAATATAATGAGATGCTCAGGAGCAGCTGCATTTGAGCCTGAGGTCATCACACCCAAAGCCAAGCATCAGCCAGAGTCAAGCCCAACCCTGGGCTGTGGAGCAGTGAAACCAGTGTTCTCTGGACTGATGCTCTGACTGATTCATCTTCAGCACCTGGCCTTAATAATGCTTTTGTGGCTGAATGCAATCAAATCCCCACAACAATGTTTCAACATCTAGTGTGAAGTCTTCTAAGAACAGTAGAGGCCGTTGCAGCAGCAAAAGGTGACACCCTATGAATCCTCTTTATTTCAGAAGAAATGCTAGAAGGACAGCAGTGGTTGTATTTATCTAGGTTTATTTTATGTCATTAGCAAGATTGAGGGAGGAGTCTGTCCTGGATTTTTACAATTAATGTCATGAACAATTAATTGTTGTGGCATTTGTAGGTATTAATGTCAATGTTTTTTTTTCAGCTGAAAAAAATCACTATTATTATTTAATTTTTACTTTATTTAGTTGAAAAACATGTTGATTTTAACTAAATAAAGTCAGAGTTTTGTTGGTATAAAGTAAGCATTGCACCTCTTTCTTCATAAGACTGTTTTTCATTTTTAGTTGCACCTCACTTACATATGGTTGAAGCACTTTTCCTTGATCTTGGACTATTATTTAACATTTAAAAAGCTTATTTACTTTAGGAATGTTACTGCTCCAGAATCTAAACCATTTGTTCTACAGGCTGTTCTACAGGCTGCTGTTGTCAGACAGTACCTGAAAAAGAACTATTTGGCATTCAGCCCACATGGTGTCTAATCTTTTCCTGGGGCCACAGTGATCCCATCCGTCTAAACACACACACAGACACACGCACACATACACATGCACACACACACACACACACACACACACACACACACACACACACACACACTAATAATCTGGTGTGTTTGGATTCTGGACAGGGCCTAAATGACTCAGAGCATTATTAGGTGACCAGTCTCTGTAAGCTTGTAGAGTCACACAGAGATTTCAAAATAACATTGGAAAATCTGGAAAACAGGCATGTGCACAGATACACATACATTAAGTTCAAAACAGGCTAAGCCTATCAGCTGTTGATAGCCATAAGCCAACGACTATAGAAATCAGTTCTGGCCTGTTTTGAGTCTGAAGTCAAATCCATGAACACATTTATATACGACTATCAATTCAGTCAATAGCAGGTTAGCCTGTTTCATTTAGCCTACTGCAGTTTAGCCCTGCCCACTCAGCCTACAACAGTTTGGCCCAGCCCATTTAGCCCACAGCAGTTTAGTGCCGCCCATTCAGCCTACAGCAGTTTAGCTCCACATATTCAGCCTACAGCAGCTTAGCCCTACCCTTTAGTGTCGCCCTGCTTCGTTCCTTTGAAGAAACATGGAGTGTTTTTACTGATAACAGTCTGTAGCACAGTTATTGGAGAGGAAGATAAAACATTGTAATCCATAAATCCTGAAGTTTAGTTTTTCAGCCCTGAAGATTCAGTCTCAACTTAACAGTTTGATCCATTTCAGCCCAGACTTTCCAAATGAGATATGATTCAAGGCAACCAATTAGAGCAGAGGTAATTTACATGCCAGTCTTGAAGGCACAGTAACAAAAACAGCCTGTTTACTTCTAAGGCCTAAACATATATGCACACTTTTTAATTATCAATATGTACTTTATTTAAATTCAGTATGGTGTTCAAAGTCTAAACTCAGCCAACTTTTACCTAATTTACAACCCAAATGCCAAAAAAGCTGGGACAGTGGGTGAAATGCTAATAAAAACTGAAAGCAGTTATTAGTAAATTCTGTATTACGTTGAAAACACTACAAAAACGTTTTACTTTATGAACTTCAATTTTATCTGTAAACATATGCTTATTCCAAATATGATATGATACCTGTAGCTTTCCAAAAAAGCTAGGAGAGGAGTATGTTTACCACTGTGTTACATCAGTTTTAACAAGACTCAGTAAATGATTGGGGACTGAAGACACCAATTGATGCCATTCTTCTGTTATACAGTACTTCAGCTGTGAAACCATACAGGGCCTTTGTTGTCATATTTTATTTTATTATTTTATTATTATTAATAAGACACACATTTTTAATGGGAATATTAGACTGCACTGCAGATGTGTAGGTTACCCAGTAATAATCCTCCCCATATCATGACAGACCCTGGCTTTTAAACTTTGTTTTAATAACAATCTGGATGGTCATTTTTTTCTTTGGCCCAGAGAACACTACGCCCAGGATTTCCATATAACATGTCAGACCACAAAACATGTTTACACTGTTTACACTATCAGTCCATTTCAGATGAGCTGAAACCCAGAGAAGTTGGCAGCATTTCAAGATGTTGTTGACATATGACTTCTGCTGTGCGTAGTACAGTCTTAACATGTATTTGTGAATGCAGCAATGAACAATGTTTATGGACAATGGTTCATCAAAGTTTTACCATCCCATGTGGTGATATTCATCACAGAAACATGCCAGTTTTTAATATATTGCCATCTGGGTGATCAAAGGTCTCAGATTCATTTGTGCTTTTCAGTTTTTTTCCTTTACGCAGAAATTTCTCTTGATTCCCAGAATCTGTTAATGATATTACACACTCTAGAGGGAGAAAAACCTAAAAAATTTTTTTGAACAGTTGGATTTTTTGCTGACAGAAGTGACAAACTTCAACCCATCCTTGCTCAAGCATGATTGCAGCAATCAGAATGAGTGTATATTTACAAAAAGCAATGAATTTGTTGAGGTAAAATACTACATATCTTGTCTTTGTACTGTTTTTTTTTTTTTCAAATGCAGGTCAAAGTAGATTTATAAATCACTGTTTTCAGTTTTTATTTGCAGTTTATCTACTGTCCCAACTTTTTTGGAACTGGGAATTGTATGATGTATTTTCTGCTCTGTTGCTTATGAAACCTGCCCAAATGTAAAATGTATTTTTTTTATAAGTCAGCCTGTAATTACAAATGTTTTAACGCTGCACCTGAGCTCCAAGCAAAGAATCAGCTGGATCTTCAGGATTGTGATTATATTTAATTACACGGCGGTGAGACGGACTGTGCTTAAGTAAAGCTGGACTTTTTGTCTGAGTGTTTTTCCAGCATGGCTGTCTCGCTGACTGCAGTGTTCGCTTTGCTTCTCCTGCTAGTATCACCAGTGCAATGCCAAGGTAAGGCAGATTACATCCCAGAACTTTCTAATTGGACCTATACCGATGATACAGTGCATACTTTTAGCAGACTAATTAGTATGTTAATTTGTGCAGTCAGTGTTTATTTCTTATGTGTGATTGACAAGTAAACAGAATTTTACATTTTTTAATTGTTTGATATTTAATTGTTTAGTTAGAATTAATTGCTTCTATATGTAATATTTTCTCTGATGTTTCAGTCTGCTTTATTGTCAAAGAGACTGACATGTAAACTGAATTTTCAACTTTAATTATTTTTTATTAATATTTTCATTCCTTTTTTCTCTTTCCCTCTCTTCCAGTTTGCTATCTATTTAAACAATTTAGTTGTTACTATGTTAATCTTAATACGAGGTACCGCTGAGATGAATTCAATGTAGTGATATTTCATTTGGGCACTAATAATTAAGCTAATTCTAATTCCAATTCTGTGCTTGGGTCTGATTCTGAGTTTCGTTATGACTTCGATTTTAACTCTGAATTCTATTTCTTATTCTGGTTCTGAATTCTCATTTTGATTCTGAATTCTAATCTTGAATTTTAATTCTGTTCTAATTCTGATATTCTTTCAGAATCTGACTGATTACAATTATGTTTCTGCTGCTAATTCTGGTTTTGAATTCTGATTCTAATTATAATTCTGACTCTGAACTGTAATTCTGATTCTAAATTCAAATTCTGGTTCTTCCTCTGAATTTTGATTCTTATTCTAAATTTTGCTAAATCATTTTTATTCTAAATTCTCATTCTGATTATAA